CAGGGCCAAGGAAGGCGAAAAACATGGGAAAAGGGAAGAAGAAACCATCGGGAGATCGCTTTAGTATATGGTAATGAACTGTGCAGGCGCGCCGGAAGCAGTTTGGGATTGGGGGGGCAAACATTCCAGGGGGCTCACATTCCAGGGGCAGTGACGTAATGAGAAAAATTGTTCGGAAGGGGGGGGGGGGGAGACGAAAAATCTGCATCGCCACCAGTCTTACACGTTACATGCAGGTCCCGCGGAACGTTTTTCAAAGTGGATCAGGTAGATCGTAAATTGGCGTGGGGTCCAGGGCATGAGCCTCGGCAGGGGGTCAAGGGGATGAGCCCCCGGAAGCTCAGGGGTTTTAGGTATTTAATTACGGTTAGATGAGCATCCAGGGGCCCTCTGTAAGGCAATTGACGTGTTCCAAGGGGGGGGGGAGCCCCCAGAAGCTCAGAGGTTTAATATTTAACTACGGTCAGATGAGCATCCAGGGGCCGTCTTAGGGCCCTTGGTGTGGTCCAGGGGGCAGAGCCCCCGGAAGCTCAGGGGTTTTAGGTATTTAATTACGGTCAGATGAGCATCCAGGGGCCCGCCTTAGGGCCCTTGGTGGGGTCCAGGGGGCAGAGCCCCCGGAAGCTCAGGGGTTTTAGGTATTTAATTAAGGTCAGATGAGCATCCAGGGGCCGCCTTAGGGCCCCTGGTGGGGCCCAGGGGGCAAAGCCCGGGAAGCTCAGGGGTTTGAGGTATTTAATAACGGTCACATGAGCATCCAGGGGCCCGCCTTAGGGCCCTTGGTGGGGTCCAGGGGGCAGAGCCCCCTGAAGCTCAGGGGTTTTAGGTATTTAATTAAGGTCAGATGAGCATTTTTTATACCTTATTTGTGACATTGGCAGGTCACTTTTTTTTCTTCTCCGTCTTTCTTTCTTTTTCTCTTTAACATACTTTTTCAAAAAGGAGGGGGGGGAGGTCGAGCTCAGCCACTTTGCAGACCATGACATAAAGGCTTCTAAATAAGCGTATTTCGCCTGACTGTAATTTGGGAATTTCTTATTTTCCAACAAACGCATAAAAAGGTATGACTTACAAGAAAAATGGAGAAAAAATGCCGGAAAATCATGTCACAACATCAACATTTGTAAATTACTTGTTTCGAATAAGAAATACATCACCCCCCCCCCCCCCCATCAGTACGCCAGCGTTCAGTGGCTCATGTCTTCTCACCCCTATAACAAAAAAAACGGACACGCTTTCCCATTCTCGCACAATATGTCCACGATATGCGCGTATCGCTATTATAGAGATCTCCATTGATAAATACCGTATAGGTGGCATGCGCAATGTTTATGAAATTTAATTCCTGTGAACTTTCCTTTTTCTTTGAATGGAATTGTATACAGATGATTGTATATGTGATTTAATTTAGGTTTTTATTATTGTTACGTTCTTTTGGATTAAAAATACAAACCATGTTTACTCCTTTACTGTTTGTTTTTGTTTTTTTGGAGGGGGGGGGCGTTTTGGGGGGGCAAAAATGCGTTTTGCCCCCCCACTTTTTTGACTGGGGGGGCAACTGCCCCCCCTGCCCCCCCCCCACTTCCGGCGCCTATGGAACTGTGCATGGGTAGACAGCTACTGTTCACTCCGTGCCTGGGCCGATTTCAACACCAAAACAAAAATTACATGGTGAAAATATCGACTAATAGCACATCGTTGGCATGTATGTCATAATTTTTAAAAGGGGAATTGATATTAATACTATGAAGTACTAGGGGAAGGTAAAGAATTGTACATAGAATTATGATTTATTAGACTTTTCAGCCTTTGAAACAAAAATATGCAGAAAATCGTATCACTCTGCACATGTTTGCTATGGAACATCCGGGTACGTGAATATACTCTTTCCCGGACGTGAGGTCATAAATAGTAGACCAGCGCCGTGACTGATTTTTTATGCAAAGAGAGGCGGATATTTTCGACATTTCAATTGAGGATTTCGAGTAGACAGAATTTTTTTGTGATATACTAAGTAATTGAAAAACTTAAAAATAACATATACTTGCCGTAGGTAACAAATTAAGGGATATTTATTTGCTTAGTGTGTCAACTTTAAGTTTCAAAGTACCTAAATTCTATTGGGAATTGATTAAAGCATGGGAAGAGTTTGATTAGAAGTTTGTAGGAATTTTGAATAAAAGAATAATCCAATTATTGTTAACAATAACAATTTCTTTTATTTAACCATAATTTGTGGCTTACACCCCGTAAATAAGATTGAGGATTTTGTTTTTGTTTTTTTGATGAGTTGTTTACATGCAATGTAATTTCAGTTCAAGATATTTTTGTTGAAAAGGGCATGCAGTCAATATATCATTTTTGACATTTGGGGTCAAAGGAAACAAAATTGTTGATGTACGGAATATTGGGGAATCTATTTTGAGAAGCGGAAAAGGGGATAACTGGAGTTCAGTTGATGTAAAACAATATGATAATCTAATGCAGTTTAAAGGTACTGTGAAGCTCCTCAGAGATTTATTTTTGAGAAAGGTATATGAATATTTTAATGGAGAAGTTACAAAATATATTTGTTTTGAAGATTAATGATGGACAGGGATTTTCAGATTTTTCAAATGAGGTATGTGGGGAGATATTTAGTAGGCCTAGGAAAGTTACTCTTGTTAACAGACTAAGAGAAATTCAATATAAACTGCTTCCTGGAGCAATATATACTAGAGAACACTGATTGAGATTCGGCTTTGTTGAAGATAACTTGTGCTTATTTTGTAAGCAAAAGATTGAAACATATTAACACTTGTTCTGTGTGTATAGTGCAGTGACGGATGGTGGCCCCTGACAAATAGGCAAACAAATATTTTTTTTGTTTTTGATTTTTATTTATATTTTGTTGCTCAAAGGGGGGGGGGTGATGAGTAAACAAAAAGTAGAGCTCCATACCCCCCCCCCCCTCCCCCTCTATTGAGCCTAAAACCAAAAATTAGTGCTCACCACAAAGGGGGAAAGGGGGGGGAGATCGTTGAACACCAAAAAGGATTGGGTCTCACTATGTTGAACAGGCTGCAAGCCGCCGCCTATTCACAGGCGCTATCCCACTACTGCTCCACACGGGGACTTTTGCCTGCTGCGTTTCCGCCCTGGGCCAGTACGTCTCTCCTTAGACGACCTGGTTGGCCAGTCCTCCGACCAATCAACCATATCGATGCCGAGCTTAGCGTGGACGCCCGATCGCCATAGAACGACGACATACAGGACTCCCGCTCTCAAGCGATCCACCAACCCCGACTTCCAAGTAGCTGGATTACAGGCGCACGCCACAACGCCCGGTCAAGTGATAATAGCGAACATAGAGCAATGCAGATGAGCTTCCGATTTGATTTGTTTTTCCTGTAGAGGGCGCGCGTGTGTGTGTTTTATACGTAGTGTCCCTTTACACTATGTTTACCCCGGCCCCTCCACTCAGGTTTCAAAATGACCGCATGCGTGTTGCCAAAATGTCCTTTTCGTAACAAAAGAAAAAGGTCGAGCCGTATTGACTTTACACACCGGACTTTTGCTGAAAAGGGGGGTGCGGAAAAAGGCTCGTATACAAAAGAAAAAGGTCGAGCCGTATTGACTTTACACACCGGACTTTTGCTGAAAAGGGGGGGTCGGTTGGAACACGCATATGCGTACCCTAAATAACACTGAGTGGGGGGGGGCCGGGATGTTTACGTACAAATCCTATGTTATTATTCCCCCTCAGAATATGCCCCCTCAGAATATGCCCTTTTTCCCCTCCTTTTTTTATTTTACCAGTGGACATTATCCTGACTGTGACTGAGATTGTATAGTTGAACTTAAATGATAACAGCGACCCCGAACAAGTAATGTTTGATGAAAACATTATAACAATCTGTTATATGAATTATTTTGTGTACATATAATAGGTCTACCATTTCCAGAGAAACATATTCCCCGAAACAAAATATTTAGTTTTTCATTATTCTTTAATGATGCCATTCATACATAAACAATTCATCTTGTATACAATAGCCAAGAAACGGTAAGAACAGAAATAAAAAAATAATTGCTTGTTTATCTCAGCTACGACAATCCACCTTCATTTGGCTATTTACATTGAGCACCAATTAGAAGAAGAAGAAAGAAACGATTGAATGAAATGAATTATAATTATAACATCCTCCCCCATCTCCCCTTCCCTTAAAATGAAAATGATGATTAGTATTACTTTACCTTACACACGATTCCAAACTGTATTAGCGCCCTCTATAAGAAAGAAGAATGTTCCCAAATCGCTACCTCTTCTTAGATTACCTGTCACTAATTTGATTTCGCTAAAATATCCCAAGATGATCACTTTACAAGGTGTAATACACGATTGTCCAAGGGATTTAGATGGACTTCCTAGTGTAGAGAGCGAGGAGACTTTTCGAAATGAATTATATATTATGACACACCCTTTAGTTAAAGGAGATTTAGTGTCTATGGGAAGAACGTCCTTGTCAACAGAAGTTGATTTTTAAAAGGACCCACAAAAAGAATTATCCAAGGCTTAAAGATACAATGTCCCTTTTGCAGACAACATCACATTATGTAGAACTGTGCAGGAATTATAAATATGTCATGTATGTCCTATCTGTGGAATTTAAACGTTAGCAGTGTCCTAATATTAAAATTATGCAAGGAAACCTGTTTACTTGCTTTACTTCACTGTTAGACACTATTGAGTGACTGACTGACTTTTTCTTCTTTGGTAATAGCATAAATAAAATGAGCTTTTAAGGGCACATGAGCATTTTGTCTACTTCAATAACCCACTACTTGTAATGGCCAAAATTAAACTGATTGAATCTTTGCGCAGCATAAAACATACAATCATTCGGTACAATGGTCTGAAAATCAGACTATTACTTACTGGCTCTGTAGCTCTTAGATCGATTCGACAACTAATAGTCGTTATTTTCCCACTTAAAGACATTTTCAAGCATCCCATTTTTTAGGGAAGTTCTAAATTAGTATTATCTTTTAAATGCCGTTGGAATTTAACCAAAACGAAAGGGCTTGAAAATGTCTTTTTGAGGGAAAATAACGACCGTTAGCTGTCAATTCGACTTATGGGATTGCAATCCTTTTATTAAATTGTCTGATTGCTCTCATGGTATCACAAAGCTAAATTATGTCCACGGTTCAGACTGTTTGTAGACAGTTTGAGGTTAAGATTACAGTTTACTTGCGGCACGAAAGTACATTAGTCCGAACAGCACAGGATATTTTCATCATAATCATGCGTAAATATTCATCCTTTGGGTCCATTTCAGTTGACAAATTCAGCTCTACTGGATGTCATATTTGGATGGAGACGTCAGTGTTGATAAAGTCATATATCTTTCTTTTCAATAAGAACTGTCCGTTTGGCTCTTTCACGCCTGGTGGAAGAAGTGCTAATAAAACTGGAGTATCTGCGCCCTCTACGGTCGTAACCTTGTTGCCTCCATATTGGTTGTCCGGTAAGTCAGCGGTCATGTCGGTTTGTACAAAGCCTGGGCAACACTGGGAACAACAAGAAACAAAGTATAATGGAATCAAAGGCTACGCACATTCTTGGTTTAAGCGTCTGCTTTACGTTTTCTCAGAATTATTAAAGATTGGTCCACCAATATGATCCCGCGGGGGTCAGTTTTGTTTTGCTTTACACGACAGGTGAGCATCACGTGACGTCTCCCGATGAGGTTAACTGTAGCTCATTTTTAAATTGTTTACTTTTTCACAAAAATATGCAAGTGGAGAAGAAATTGAAAAAAATGAGACAAGGAGCAAATGTCCGGTCGCCCCTTTACTTAGTCTGCGGGGAGGAGTTTCTTAATATAAATGTTTGAGAGGGATTCGTCAAAGATATATTCTCAGTGGACCATAATATCGGTGTACCAGCTACTGTACTTACCGCATTGACAAGTATATCCTGTTTCGATTCATCTAGTGATATCTTTTCAGCCTGTATCTTTGACAGTAGGATAACACCGAGTTTACCAACCCCATAGGACCATTCTGACCATCCGTTTGCTGCGTTAGTTTCCATCTTGCAGCACCTGCAAATGAAAATGCACGTAGTCCCCATAATAAAGGTTAGAATTTCCTCTGGCATAAATCATTGTAAATCAAAGCGAGTACACGTACCTAATGGATTTGATTACGCTCACCAGGTGCCGTGCTACTACCGTGCTATGTTTTACGGCTCCATATGACTGTTTACGGCGCCACACAATCACAGGAAGCCCGTGCGATATTCGCAAGAAGTTTTTGCGGTTTTACAAGGAATATAAGCACGTGTCACCTACGTTCATCAACAAACAGGCAGAGATTATTGGACATGTTCAACAGCCACCCACAGGAGCATGTACGGAAGTTTAAACTTGCAGCGAGAAGGCGACTTGATTAACATGCCAAGATGCTTGGTTTTAGTCGAGAAAGCGAGGTGGTGAGTTGTTTAAACTCACAAAGGCGCCTTGTTTAAGAAGAGGAGGGAAGAACGCGAATCGTTAAAGGTCATCAAGTCACCTTCTCGACTTCAACAAGACGCATTGGCTAACAACTTCGCCTTAAACAAAACGCCTATGTCAAGTTATATAAGTTGCCTTCTTGCTTCACGTTTAAGCGTGCCTGCAAAACAATGTGCAGACCCGTGCTTCGACGCTTTGGAGGGGATGTACTAGGATGTAGCATCATATTTGGCTTTGACAGAGTCATCCAAAAATGACATCACCTCCCCAAAAGAGTGGTTTTTACGTCATGAACTAATCGTAATTAAAAGGAAGCATGGCTGTTTATTTAAAGAGAAGGTTGAGTTCTGGGAAGAGGTGAAAATAATTTGTGAGCATTACTCATTCTTATTATGCAAGTGTGGAAGAACATCAGATAAGACATGTTCCCTGAAAAGCATGGCTCTTCAAATGCCTTCATATTCTAAATATGCATGTAACATCGTAAAAATCGGGGGCCGGCTTTTTACGCCACGTGTTTGTGTAGTCCCATATACATCTTTCTGTGTACAGTGTTTGTAATTTTACCAAGACTTGGCCAAGTTTCTTATCATTTTGATGATTCCAGAACCTTGCAATACACACAAATTCTTATATGCTATATGATCAACCCTTTCTTGTCGGTTCCACACCGTTTCTTTCACAATGCAATCGCATGACCAGAACTCAACTTCATCTTTAAGTGAACGACCAAGGTAAGAGGCGAGATGGTTCAGTGGTAGAGCAGTGTTTTCTTAACTGGGAGATCCCGGGTTCGAAAATGCGCAAGTGCCCTTTGGTAAGGCATTAATTGTAATTGTCGAGGCCCTTGGAGAGGCCTTAAAGTCATAGTTTCCCATTACGAGAATACACATGCGTTTTTAGCAGTCAATTAAAATAAACACACCATCATACCAAGTAAAGTTTTCGACTGCCACTACCGTACAAACTATTGACGTATTATAACAGTTGTGTGGGTGTTGTTCTTTCTTTTTCGGGGGGGGGGTGAAGATAAACTACTTTTAAAAAATCAATACAGTTGTTTACACATGTACCATTCAATTTTGTTACGGTCACCTCTAATAATAATAATATGTCTTGTTTACCCAGGGTAGCCTCATCAGTATTCATACTGTTCTTTTTGAGTGCCCTGTAATCATATTATTACCCCGGTCATCGGATTCAGGCTTACCCACACACAATGTACCGGTATGCACATTCTCCACTCCATGGGGAGCATACCAGCCAGGCGTAATTTTACAAGCGCACACTTGCTAATCTAAGCACATTAGCTTTCGCATCCTACCGGGTACCCATTTAACACCTGGGTGGAGAGTGGAAAATATACATCAATGTCTTGTCAAAGGACATTAATCAAGTAAAGGTGGCCCATAATGGATCATGGTAACTGATTTGAGACCTTGGCATCGTTTCTAGAAACCTTCATAAGTAGGCGTAGAAGTTCACCAACATCCCATTGAAATGCATGTTCGATTTAATTCACGTGTTCCATGAGTTGTTGGTGAACTTGTACGTAGGATGGTTTTGTGAAACGCCGCCCTGGTTCACATGAGGAAAACGGCCCGTCTACTCCATACCCTACTAAGTCCCTTGCTTACTCGGGTTTTAAGACATCACTTTCACGGGGCAAATCTGAGGATTAGGTTCTTCCCTAGACCCCCTTCCCCAAGTAATCCAAAGTCTAATCCTCTTAATGAGGGAGGGACCGCTAGCTATTACATAATCACCTCCACCACAATGGCTTCAATGTCAATATAGGGTCGAGAGGTGCCAGATTAACTGTGTTTTCTTTCTCTCTTTCTAGTTTGTACTGTGTATGGTGGTGTGACCAGTAAGATTTCGAAAATCTGATATCCCCAATGGAAAGAGGAACTTAAAATTACCCAGATATGAAATTCTCTTTGAAATTGTGTACGAAATTGTGAAAATATTGACAAAAGATCGGCAAATTTTGCAACCTTTTGCATCAATTTACCGATAACGGTCTGAAAATCTTCAATTTGAGAGCAGATTTCCTCAAAATTGTAAGTAAAAAATGGTACCAACTGATTGTATGATGTCTTGCCTTGCAAATTATGATATTACCTTATTTTTGATGCATCACATTTTTTGATAAATCAACTGTAAACCCCCGTGCGTGAAGTTAGGTCTCGTTGTTTTTATGACCTTTTTAGATTCAGCGCGCATGCACGATCGGCCGGACATCGAATTTTTAGATCGCGATATCTCCGAAATCCTTGCACGATAATTTGTTTTAGTTGAACCAATCTGTAGCAAAAAACTTTGCCGTCCATTTGGTAATCATTGAAATAAATAAATTTGTGTAGAATATGAGAAATTATAGATCGAATATCACATTTTGTAATGTGTTCTAAAATGTCCGCGAACTTTGGTCACCCCTTCATACTTGAACTTGTGCTATGCCTATTGTACTTCTCCTTCCTCCAGTTTTCGGAGATCGGCGACAGACCGCCGAGAAGAGGGTACCGTAGTCCTATTGTTGGATGTGTGTGTTTGTGTGTCCCGGTGGAGGGGTCCGGGGGCGGCGTCCGGGGGCCGGGGGTGCTGTGAAATTTCTCAGTAGTTCAGTAACTAGACGATGATATGTGGAGCGGGTGTGTTGTCTGTGTCTTTATGCGAAAATAATGATATGGTTGGCCTACAGGAGTTTTAAAGTAAAAGAAATGTGATCTTTTTATTTGAAATGTATCGATATTAAAAATCTGCCATTGCTGTATAGACTCTAGAATGATTTTGAAATGCAAATGATTCGCAAGTATGGCAGTGTGTCCAAACTTCGCGGATGTCCATATTTCGCGGACATGCAGTCGCATAATTCGATAAGACAAAATAGTATCTTTTGAAATTTTGAAAATCCGATATCATCAACAGAAAGAGCAACCTAAAATTACCTTCAGGTGCAAATTTCTCTGTCAGTCTGTGAATAGGGAATAAATTGTGAAAATATTGACAAGGGATCGGCAAATTTTGGTGTCATTTGTGTCCGTTCCAGGAAAATCCGAACTCCCCGACAAGGGTCTGGAAATCATCATTTTGCGAGCAGATACCATCAAAATTGTGAGAAAGAAGGAATATAAAGAGATTGTATGACATTAATACCTGCATGCATTTGATGCAATAATTATAGAACTCCTTGTATTTATGCCTTAGGGAGATGTCCCCCCCCCCCCCCATTTATTAGAAAAACACTGTCAATTTTTTATAATTCCATTTGATTTAGTAATATTTAATTAAGCTAAATCCCCAGTTTAGGGTGAAAATTTGCACTAGAAGTACCTTAAATAGTTGATTAATAGCAATTAATTTGTGTGAATTAATGACATTCGGGTGCTTGAAAACTAAAATCTGAACTAAATATCTAAAATGGTGCAGTTTCTTTTTTTCAATCTAGTTTGTAGAGTAGGATATCATTTTGAAGGGCACTTTCTGCTCTACAAGAATCACTCAATGTGTAAAGTGTTTGCTGCCATCTGTAGGTTAAGACCTGAACAATCTTGCATTCCTACCACATGACATTGCATGCTGTCACACTCACAGTGTATCACATTCGTACACCAAAATGCCACGAAAACACCAGGGATTTGTCAAAAAGAGGAAAGGTTTCAATGGAACCAGGTGGGATGGTGTTAAAAGAGCCAAATAAGATGATACTACAGTTCCTCTACAAGAGACAGCTTCAGAAAGGAAGCTAAAGCTCAACAATTCCCCTGCAGCCCAAAAAACACAGCCCTGCCCCACCCATTAGGAAACGCGTCATGTTTTGGAGGGCTATTACTTGATCAGTGGGCCTCTCCTGACATCTGCCCTAAAAGAAGCTCATGTACTGTATGCCCAGGAGGTAAGATAATGTTAAAACATGTATTTCATATGATGAGTGTAATGTTTGTTTAGTTTTTGCTTACTTTAAAAGGTTAATAATTATAACCCTGATTAGATATCAAGCTCGAGTGAAGCTCAAATTTAATCTGCCTGAAAGCTAATCATGCTAGATCTACAATAATTTAAACATTTCTTGAAAAGATCTATATATATTCACAAAAATAAATATGAAATAAAGTGTATATCTATTTGTACATATTGAGGGAGATGTAACTAGGTCTACATCATTAACATGTTCCTTTATTATATGATTGCACTTGCAGGACACCTAATTCCACTAGAGGATGCATCAAAACGGAATGGGTTACGATCATTCCTCATCCTACAGTGTTCTGTCTGTAAGGCAGAGCACTCATTCCTCACCTCTGAAAATATCTTCAAGGGAAAAAGGCCAGAGTCCTGTTCCGATATTAACAGGAGGGCAGTAATGGCAGCATCAGAGGTTGGACTGGGCAGAGTGGGACTTGCTGATCTCACCAGTATACTTGGACTCCCCCCGCCACCAGTTCAGCAGAGCTACCAGCGCCATTTGAAAAATATAGCAAAGGCTAAAAAAACGGTAAGATACATCATTCCAAGTATTTGTCAAAAAGAAAATATCAGAATGAAGCTATCATTTTAGAGTATCTCCTGCTTTTGCATAAACATGTCACTAATAAGCTGTTTTATTTTTATTTTATTGACAGGCTGCCGAAGACCAAATGAAGGATGCCGCACAGCACCTGAGGGACAAGGCTAGGGAGAAGGACCCCTCCATCGGACCTGACGATATTGTTGATGTGGCAGTCTCATTCGATGGTACATGGCATAGGCGTGGGCACTCGTCGAATCATGGGGTGGGGGTGGTGATTTCAGTAGATACGGGCGAGGTTTTAGATCAGGAGGTTTTGTCAAAAATATGTGGGGAATGTAATGCTAAGAAGGGATGGGATAAGGAGGGGGAGAGGTATAAGAAGTGGGAGGCTGGGCATTCATGTGATGGGGGTCACAAGGGTAGTAGTGGGGGGGGGGGGGTGGAAGCAATAGCAGCTCAAACTATGTGGCGTAGGGCAGTAACTCAATATAGATTAAGATATAAATTCATGGTTAGTGATGGGGATAGCAGTTCTTTTAAGAAGATAGAAGAGATCTATGGGGAAGGGCATAAGGTATATAAGATGGAGTGTGTAGGGCATGTAGGGAAAAGGATGTATAAAGCTTTGGACAACTTTCGCAAGGATCATTCCTGTCAAAAATTAAGTGATGGTAAGAGGGTAGGGTATGGGAAGGGGAACATCAGACACACAATCAATAGGAAGATTATCTAGGTTATGTAGGGGCGCTATTCTAAGAATGCTAATAGGGACGCGTTAGATAATGTAGAAGATAAGGCTAAATCTGTAGGAAAAATGCGCAGGGCGGTATTCTGTTCTTTATCACTCTGTAATGCTGAGTGATAATGACGTGCGTCACCAGTACTGTCCCGACAATGGCTGGTGTGAGTACAAAAACAAAGGCAAACTGGATTACAACGAGAATCACTTAGACCTTGTGTTTCTCAAGTATCTGTTGCCTACATATTCACGCGACTCAGTGCTCCAGATCTCCTTGAGAGATGCCTCCCAGGTATCACCCATAACCAGAATGAGAGCTTCAATGCTCTCATCTGGAAAAGGTGCCCTAAACACCTGTGGAGAGGTTCACGTGTTGTTCGAACTGCAGTCCACCTTGCAGCTCTTTCGTTCAACTGTGGCGCAGAGAATGGACGCTACAGAACTTCCAAACACCTAAATCTCAGAATGGGAGCTCATGCCATTCAAGCAGCGCGTAGAAGGGATTTCATTAGACTAAGTAATCCTAAATATAAAGCTAGTAAAGTAATGAAGAAACTTAGGGAACTACGTAGGAGAGCTAAGAAAACTAGGGAAGAAGAAGAAGAAGAGAGGGATGGGGGGTCATATTCGACGGGTGCCCACTAATGTTATAGAGACGAGATCATTTTCAATATAACTACATTATATTGTGCGTCAATTGACCCATTTTGAAATTGGTCTTGGCTCTATAGCATTATGCATGTATATATTTGAATATTTTATCATGTTTGTAAATATCTACTCAATTTAATTTTCCTGCTGTATATACTCGTTCATAGTTTTATCCAATTTTCCTGATGTATATATTCGTTAACATTTTTATCCAATTTTCATGATGTATATACTCTTTAATAGTTTTTATCCAATTTTCACGATGTAAATATTTCTTACTTTTTATGAATTTAGTTTTCTTTTTTATGAATTTAGATGTCTTTTCTTGTTCTGTTTTCTTTAGTTTCCTATACACATGTAGGATACTATTGGATACCAGCTCCGCACTGCCCTCATCATTAAACTCCCTTTCAGCATCTGTATTCGGGGAAGTTTCAGCTACATTAACAGATATATACGCTGGTAGCTGAGCTTCCCCACCAAAGTAGTTTAGTTATTTATTTATATATTTCTAATTGACTTCTCTTGTAAAATGTATTTATTTTGATCTCTAACATTGTAAATATAAAATTATTAATAAAATTATCTGTATATATCGGAAAAGAACGAGTGACGCATCTTTTGTGACCGTCTTGGTAACATGTGTATGTATCTAAAATGCAAGGCCTTTTATTTTCTTTATTTTCTCAAAAGTAAGATTCTCAGTTGCATGTTTGTATTAATGATTGTGTGAGAATGCAATGATGGATTGAGTTCAAACTTAGTGTTCTGCTTGTGGGATGTATGTACTGATGTATGTATTGATCCATTTTTAAAAACAAGTTACCATTTTCTCACAATTAGCTTATGAATATATAATTAGCTAATCATGAATTTGATAGGACATTAAAAATCATTAACAAATAATGAGAGATGTTTGCTAACAAAATAATGAATACAATCCATCAACAAAGCACATTTCCACAAATTTTCAAGGTGACCCCATTAGTAGTTCATGAAAGAGAGCAAATATAAGTATTTCTTATGTATTTCTTTGTATGCTAATTAGCCACACGTGGTGTCATATTTCAAGCGCAAAAAAAAAAATTCATTAATAAATAACCTTTGCATGTAAAAACTTTTTTCTGATTGAAATGATGTGAAGACTCGAGAGAGAGAAAAAGGTCTACTTAAAAGCGGCAAGCCTATACCTCCCACTTGCCTCAGAAGACTGAGAGAATAGACGACTCGACTCGAGCAAAGTGATGTGTTCGAACCCGACTTGATAGTAGTCTATAACACAAGCTTGCTTAATGATTTGAGTAGTTTTACAAACAATATACAAAACGAACTAAGTCCTCTACTATACTCTGGATTTGAGTCCATATAAAGTGAACTTATGAAATGAAGCTAAAATTCTGTTTGGTAACCTTGAAGGATGATATAGTTAAAACATTGGTTTTATTTCTCTCTCTCTCGAGAGAAAAAAGGTCTACTTAAAAGCGGCAAGCCTATACCTCCCACTTGCCTCAGAAGACTGAGAGAATAGACGACTCGACTCGAGCAAAGTGATGTGTTCGAACCCGACTTGATAGTAGTCTATAACACAAGCTTGCTTAATGATTTGAGTAGTTTTACAAACAATACACAAAACGAACTAAGTCCTTTACTATACCCTGACTTTGAGTCCATATAAAGTGAACTTATGAAATGAAGCTAAAATTCTTTTTGGTAACCTCGAAGGATGATATAGTTAAAACATTGGTTTTATTTCTCTCTCTCGAGAGAGAAAAAAGGTCTACTAAAAAGCCTATGTCTCCCGCTTCCTACAAAGAGTAGAAGAATGTGATGTGTTGAAACCCGACTTGATAGTAGTCTATAACACAAGCTTGCTTAATGATTTGAGTAGTTTTACAAACAATATACAAAACGAATTAAGTCCTTTACTATACCCTGGATTTGAGTCCATATAAAGTGAACTTATGAAATAAAGCTAACATTCTTTTTGGTAACCTTGAAGGATGATATAGTTAAAATTGGTTTTATTTCTCTCTCTCGAGAGAGAGAAAAAAGGTCTACTTAAAAGCGGCAAGCCTATACCTCCCACTTGCCTCAGAAGACTGAGAGAATAGACGACTCGACTCGAGCAAAGTGATGTGTTCGAACCCGACTTGATAGTAGTCTATAACACAAGCTTGCTTAATGATTTGAGTAGTTTTACAAACAATACACAAAACGAACTAAGTCCTTTACTATACCCTGGATTTGAGTCCACATAAAGTGAACTTATGAAATAAAGCTAACATTCTTTTTGGTAACCTTGAAGGATGATATAGTTAAAATTGGTTTTATTTCTCTCTCGAGAGCTCTCTCTCTCTCGAGAGAGAAAAAAGGTCTACTTAAAAGCGGCAAGCCTATACCTTCCACTTGCCTCAGAAGACTGAGAGAATAGACGACTCGACTCGAGCAAAGTGATGTGTTCGAACCCGACTTGATAGTAGTCTATAACACAAGCTTGCTTAATGATTTGAGTAGTTTTACAAACAATATACAAAACGAACTAAGTCCTTTACTATACCCTGACTTTGAGTCCATATAAAGTGAACTTATGAAATGAAGCTAAAATTCTTTTTGGTAACCTCGAAGGATGATAAAGTTAAAACATTGGTTTTATTTCTCTCTCGAGAGAGAGAAAAAAGGTCTACTAAAAAGCCTATGCCTCCCGCTTCCTACAAAGAGTAAAAGAATGTGATGTGTTGAAACCCGACTTGATAGTAGTCTATAACACAAGCTTGCTTAATGATTTGAGTAGTTTTACAAACAATATACAGAACGAACTAAGTCCTTTACTATACCCTGGATTTGAGTCCATATAAAGTGAACTTATGAAATAAAGCTAACATTCTTTTTGGTAACCTTGAAGGATGATATAGTTAAAACATTGGTTTTATTTCTCTCGAGAGAGAGAGAGAGAAAAAAGGTCTACTTAAAAGCGGCAAGCCTATACCTCCCACTTGCCTCAGAAGACTGAGAGAATAGACGACTCGACTCGAGCAAAGTGATGTGTTCGAACCCGACTTGATAGTAGTCTATAACACAAGCTGGCTTAATGGATTGAGTAGTTTTACAAACAATATACAAAACGAACTAAGTCCTTTACTATACCCTGGATTTGAGTCCATATAAAGTGAACTTATGAGATAAAGCTAACATTCTTTTTGGTAACCTTGAAGGATGATATAATTAAAACATTGGTTTTATTTCTCTCGAGAGAGAGAAAAAAGGTCTACTAAAAAGCCTATGCCTCCCGCTTCCTACAAAGAGTAGAAGAATGTGATGTGTTGGAACCATAGAGATATATACTACTAATCTCTATGGTTGGAACCCGACTTGATAGTAGTCTATAACACAAGCTTGCTTAATGATTTGAGTAGTTTTACAAACAATATACGAACGAACTAGATCCTATACTATACTCTGGATTTGAGTCCATATAAAGTGAACTTATGAAATAAAGCCTAAAATTCTTTTTGGTAACCTTGAAGGATTATATAGTTAAAACATTGGTTTTTATTTCTCTCTCTCTCTCGAGAGAGAAAAAAAGGTCTTCTTAAAAGCCTATACCTCCCGAGATAAGACCACGACCACCTTTCTTTTGTTCTATAAGATGCAGCCAAGCTGCGTTGGCGTGGGAAAAAACAGTTTGCAAGTGCAAACCCCCGGTTTGTCGTAAATGTTCTGAATTTGCATTCTAACGAAGGAGCTGAATTGTGACTTGTGTACAGAAGCTGTTCCTAACCCCAAAATGTTACTGCAAGTTGGAACTTGTGCTATAGACTTCTGTCCATGGGCGTCAATCCTTACAAAACGAACTAAGTCCTCTACTATACCCCGACTTTGAGTCCATATAAAGTGAACTTATAAAATGAAGCTAAAATGCTTTTTGTTAACCTCGAAGGAAAAATAAGTACCTTCGTGTGTTAGGAGTCGCATTTGTTATCTAAGCTTATAAAATGTCTAACTTATATTTTCGTTCACCTACAAGCCTTTTTGTCGAATATAACTCTCGTTCGGCAACTTTCTTGCCCAAAGAGAGTCATAAAAGAGTCCTAAATCATTCTGTTTCTACAAGTGAGTGAAGCGATCGACCGCGGGCAAAATATCATATCTTTAGAGTGTAGCTTTGTAACCAAAATTGATAACTTTTATAATGGACATCTTCATGTAGAATCAAGGATAGTTACGTAAGGGAGTTTGCTGTCTAAAACCATAATGTTTTTAGATTATGAGCGAGTGGAGCGAACGACTGAAAAAAATTGTATACTGAGAAGAGGTTCTTATTAATTATTGTTCTTTAATGCTTAGTTTAGTAAAGTACACTTTATCTGCATATTCCGCTCTCATAGTGTGTACGATAGGAATAGACTGATTGGTCACTGCATGGTCGCTATCTCCTTAAAATTCGTCTCTGTCAACTTGCTGCTCGATTCCATTCAGCAAATAATAGACTATGAGGGGAAAAATAATATCATTGGCTTGATAAACAAGGTACAGATTAAATTCCTTTTGTACGAAAAGCAATAATTACTAGCGTTGGTCAAGATATTTAAAATGCGAGCGAGCGCTACTGGGTTTTCGCTTTTTCTTTATTTACTTTTTTGTCCTTTCTCTATCTCTTTTTCCTTCCTCCTTTTCTTTTAATTTTGTCCTTCGATTCCATTTTTTCTCCTTTTATTTGCCGATGGTGGTGCCACAATTTTGAGTGGGGGTGTCACACCCCACAATCTCCTAGCGATGCCCCTTTGTGTCGATTTTTATACGCGAATGGGGTTGGGGGGATCAATGTCGAATATCCTTTACGAGGCACCTAAGCGATCGAGCTAAAAAGGTGTGGAGTTCAAAACTGCTAGATAGACCAAACAAAGGAGCACACAGTTTAGGCGTCACTAGGACAGTTAAATTTGACACTTTCAAGTTTATAGTATGACCACTCTCTTTCGTGCCCCTTGCTTGCCGAATTTCTTTTGCTTTCCAAAATATCCTGTATCTTCATATCATAATTATGAGCGAGTGCAGCAGGCGAGGAAACATAAGCACCCATTTTGTGCTAGAATTGTTATTTCATTATCACTATCAAGATCTCTAAATAATATTTTCGATCACCTATATCTGCCGAACATGACTCTATTTTGGCACCTTTCCTTGACGTCCGAAACTTTTCGGGTTTTACCAGTGGGCGGGGCCATTGACCAATACAAAAATTATATATTTTCTGTAGAACGTCGATTCGTCACCAAACACATTAGATGAATTTCATATATAGCGTACTTCATCTTACTGTAAAATTCGAGGCTAGTCGGAAACTACACTGCTCCGATATTATGATATTTGGAATCTCGTTGCTAGGATAAGAAAGTTCGTTGCCCAAAACCAAAACTATTGTCTCTCTTCACTTGTACTGGAATTTTTAATTCATTGGTGTATTGGGGAACCCATGTTATACAAACATTGCTTTTTGACATGTTCCTCATATTTCATGTATTTACTGCATCATCATCATTGTGTTTGTCATTATGCTTTATCTTGCTGAACCTTTGTAATATATGAAAACTGTTATTTTGTGAATGTGAACCAATAAAATGACAATAATTTTATAGGATCCGGGCTAACTCGGACCAGGGGACAACTCGGCCCAGCTGCAAAAACGGTCATTTTTTGTCATTTTACCCTAACTCTAACCCTAACTCTAACCCTAACCCTAACCCTAACCCTAAACCTAACCCTAAACCTAAACATGCACAAAATAACCGTTTTTGCAGCTTGGCCGAGTTGTCCCCTGGTCCGAGTTAGCCCGACTCCATTTTATAGACGTGCGAGAAAAAAAAACTTATTTCGTATACTGAAAATATAATTATGATCTAATATTTAAGTTTTTGCTAAGCGCTATAGTAAGATTGGATTACTTGAAATATTTTGATGGGCAACAGTTTAGATCATAATGTATAATGGAATTCGAACTGTACATGATTGTCAACAAGTTTTTTGGGGGCTTGAGCCCCCAAAGCCCCCTCCCCCATAGAACCGCGCCTGTAATATGTGCCCACCTTGTTTAAAAAATCATGGTGATATTCAAAACGTGATTTCAAGAGAATAAGATTTCTTGCGACTGGAAAATTTAATTTTCCTGAATTGTATGAACGAGCCGCGTAGCGCCGAGCTAGAAAGAAAAAGATTTTTAGAATACTTATATACTCAGAATTGAATTTTAGGCCTACTTTTGATCAATTCTTATGCACGATGAAACATTAGTAATGCAAATGTTATCGGCATCTTGCCATACTACTCATAGTTTTCTTTATATTTATAATTTTGTATTTGTTCTTAAAGGTAATACAAAGTTTTGGTATGTTTCGTTCAAATGAATATATTGGAAGCATATGCGATCCTACAATATTCAGTGATCGTTGTCGTGGTTGAAATCGAGTCTAAAGTTATGAAATGTTAAATAATAAACTCTTTATGTTGTATAGCTCCCTCTCAAGGTCAAGATATTAATTAAGCTATAAAACAATGTTTCTTGACTAAAATCAACCGATTAGCTATTCCCTTGTGGAAATTATATATCACGACTATATATTCTGAAATTTTCATGGTCGCAGCTAATATTGTACGGCCGTAGGCGCTATTTGAAATTTATCGAACAATTTACCGGGAGCACCGGTAAATTTTTATATTCACTTTTTCGCGGAAGCAGTAGTGTTTTAGGGGCTAAATTTTCTAGTGCTTATAATACATTCACATGGGCCTCCAAATATATCAAAATTGTAAAGAATCACTATCCAACCAATTTTCTAAATTTCCCAAAACTTTGTATTACCTTTATTAATGTTTGTCTGATTTTTTATATTTGTATTTCTCCAAGTTTGTACGGCCCTGCTTATTATACAGATATTTCAGATCTTCAGAACATAACTTACATATTCATAACACAAACTATTCACACTGTTGGTGTCATTCACCATTTCTTTCAAGATATCTAATACTGCACAAGAATTTATTAAGCTGTCTTCAGATCAAGACTAATAGGCATGTGCGTCCCGACCGCCATTGTTGACTTGTTTAGAGTTATGTAACTCTCTATGTTGTATGCGCGTGTACTAACCACATGCCCATACATCCAGGTATACCATACATCCAGGCCAGACTTGAAAGGCATTCCGCGTTGAAATTTGGCTCGGTTCAGCCTCTCCAATAGTTGCGTAGTTGTACTGTATAATGATGTTCTAAAGTCTTCTTTCGTATTAATATAGTGGCAGGAATTGTAATGAATTTTAAGATGAGTGGATCAAGAGTACAGGCGATTGATGAGCTTGGAAGATGGACAGACGCCAAAGTCACCGGAGAAGGCACGGACAACGGAGGGGATTATGTAGACGTTTCTTTTCCAGGATATCCCGCGACGGACAATTTACGTGTAAGCGTAGATTGCGTCAGACCTGCAATAATGCCGTTTGAGCAGCAGGAGAGAGGTGAGAACTTGAAATTGATTTCTTAAGTCAAACAAACTATTTTATTTAACAATGATTGCTCGTAATTTCAAGACCCAAGAGAAAAGGGCCTTACTCCACATAAGTAGGATATAAGACTAAAACTAAAAGTATTAAGTAGATCTAACAGTTAGGCCTAGAAGCATGAGAAGGGTCTAGATCTACATCATTACAAATACATGTACCTTCTTAATAAATTTAATTCTTTTCATTCTTTAGGCTAAAGTCTAGGCCTATATAAAAATAAAAAGGCCCTTCATAAAATATTATATCCTCTCTCTCTCTGTCTCTCTCCTCCACTCTATCTATTTCGTCTTAACTTTTGTTTCTTGCTTCTTCGAAGCTATCATCCTGGAAAAAGTGCATGACAAATAATTTCTAAATTTATCGTGAAAATTTGAGTCATATAAAAAGTTTGGAAGGAAAATGAGAAGAGATAGAGAATGAGAGAGAAGATGGGAGCTTTGAGGGGATGTATCCCACTCAAAGTAAAGTAAGCCTACCCCTAGGATGCATGTGATTAGAGAAAGAAATTATTTTACGTAATATGTGAGGATTGAAACAAAATTATTACAAAAATATTAAATCTTAAAATTCGAAAGAGTGATAACAAAATATAAAATTACAAATTTGTACAAAAAACTACAAGATAAATGACAAGCCGATATGAAGGGTAAATAAAAATCTCATAAAGGTCAAATATCTGCATTTACTTAAACATGTTTGAATATATTGGGAAAATATCAACATGCAAAGCTTCGAATATTATATGGAAAAAAAGGCCCATTTAAAAATCTTTGAGAATATTTCTTAAATAACCAACAGCGCATATGGAATAATGACAAGATTTTTGATTTGTTTCGGGCAAGAGAAAATATGCATATTCCATTTTGAATCACTGTAGCCATAAAAATGGTTATGTTTTATTCAAGGGAAGTCAGAGGGATCATGAGAAAGACTATGTTCTCAAACTTCTGGTAGCAATATCTTGTCTGTCATGGTTTCGTGAAACATCTTGTCGGCGAGCTGACATCTCCGGTGGGTCGCCGACAAAGATATGACTGTCATGGAGCTGGCTTCGTGAAACGACCACCAGACTATTTTAAGTTAGATCTAGATCTAACTGTAGCCCCTAACATTAAGTCTAACTTTCTTAGCGTTGGTTGATTTGACGTTTGTGGATTGAACCATGTTCATGTATGTAATGTTATGGATTTTTTAAAGTTTAAATTTTGTGACGATTTAAGACAAATACTTTTGAACTACCAAGGTAACTTTAAAAAAAAATTGATTGGTCCACGGCTTTTAGTAGCAAGAAGACAACAAATAAAATGTCTCCTGCATCTGCAACATTCTCGGCTTTGCTGCCCTGTATCCCATTGATTTTGTAAGTTACAAAATGTTGCTGAGCTTTGTCATGCAATGGCTGAATGGACTTTAAAATGTAATGTGTAGTTCAGTATTGATATGATAACTTCTTCTTTTTGCAGTGAAGCCAGTTCAGCATCAGCGAAGGAGAGATGCCCCAAAGGGACATGACAAGCAACGCTTGGTTTGGCTTGCTAAATGCGAACGAGGTGACGTTGTATTGACGACTCAAGGGGAAGGAGTAATCTATACCATAGATCCGTTTAAAAGAGATATTATCTTGGAAGATGGCAGGACTGTCCATCTTCTGGATATTATACTTGGTAATTACAAAAATGTCTTTAATTCTCACATGTCTTGCTTTATTAACCAAAATGGAACCTATGAAATAATGTGATAAGTGTTAGAATAACTTTTAAGTAGCATCCATGTTTGACATTTTTAAAAGTATACTTACATATAGGGTACTGCTTTGGTACACTAGCAAATTATTGGGCTGCATGATTCCAAATTTCGGTCCACTTAGATCAATATCATTTTTTTTTATGCCTCCGCCAACCATAGGTGTGCGCCAGAGGCTTTGATTTCAGGTTGTCTATCCGTCTGTCCATCCACTTGTCTCATTTTCGTTATTGCAATAACATAAAATGGTTGATGATGACTGAATATATTTCTTTCATAGAAGCGTACATGAAATAATGTGTCTAATTATATATTGAATGAAAAGTTATAATCATTTTCAATTTTCCGAGAAAATGGCACTTTATAGAATTTATATTACATGACATATGGGGGAGCTGCTCGTATGTGACATCACAAAATCAAAACTTTAAAAATCCATCACTCTGTTATTCTTTGGATTTTCGCCAAACCTTCAGTAATATGTTTCTCTCATTTATCTGCTTTTATTAAAACCAACTTGACGTCAGGGTGGACTTCCCATTTACTATTTTAATGAATATTAAGTGTGATATTTTCTAATCTAATGATTTGTTTATGTTATTGCAATCTAGGGAACATGAGTTCAAAAGAGGACCCCTTGCCACAGAAGAAGAAGAAAAAGAGGACATCTAGACAAGGTATGCAAATTCCAGTAGTTGCAGTGAGCAATAATTTCGAGAGAAAGTCTTTAAAATTGAGGTTAATTGTGACCATATCACCATAGATCTAGATCTAGTAAGTTCTGACATAGTTTAGATTAAAATTAAGATTATTGTAAAATAATGAAATCTAGGCTGAAAACCGAGTACGCTGAAAACATGTGGGCATGTGTATTATTATTGCTTGGAAATTGACCCGTCTACCGACAGAATGACATGCTTATTTTGCAAATTACTGAGCAATTACTAATTTTCTACAAGAATCATTTGGTACATAATTTCTATTTATACATACAGACACTTTGGTGGTCATTTTTGTCTCGCCTGCGTAGCAAAAAGCGAGACATAGTCGCCGCTTTTCTGACGGCGGCGGCGTCGTCAACATTAAATCTTTAAGTAATTGGGTAACATTTTTAGATTTAAAAAAATTTCATTTTGATACTTGAAAATGGTGTAAAAGGTTTAAAAAGACCAATCTAAATGTCTCAAATTGTAATATCTATGGGAAGTATTTTTAAATAGTGAAATTGAGCCACTGTTTGAAAACGATACCTAACGATCGATTGTAACGGCCGTTTTGAATTTCTCTCTCGTGCCGAGAATAAATACGCAAAATCTCTGTTTGTAACCTATCGAAAGCGTTTCATTAAAAAAAAATGTTGGTTTCAGAGTTTTTTAGTACATATCAAGCTATCCACATGCATATTTCATCTTGACTTGGAGTTTTTTTAATTATATGCTCACAATGTTACCCTATGTTTTTGAAACGTTATCATAATTTGGGAAGTATAAGGCCCTATTTCATGCAGCAGCAGTGGCAGCGTCAACATCAAAATATTAACCTTCATGTGCGTGTACAAGGCCAAGGTTTTGAAATTTCAACATAATTTTAAATGTATAAGTCACTATTCCATGAAACCTGGACATAAGGGTTAACAATTATCACTGGTCATGTGAGGAGAATTTCATGTCACAAAATCAAGGTCAAAGGTAATTTCAGGTCAACAAACTTAGACTTTAATAGCATCAACATCAAAATCTTAACCAAAGGTTAAAGGGGTACCCCGGCCTGAAATTTATATGAATTGAAAAATAGAGTAAAATTAAACAAGCAAAACATTAAAATCAGATGAAAAATAATGCAGTTATGGCATTCTTAAGTTTTGCATTATGATGTCATCTCCCCACTTTCTATTTTGTATTTTATTCTATGAAATTACAATTATCCTAATTATCTGCTCCAAGAATATAAAAACAGGATTGACTCCTCAATTAATGTGTTAGATCATTATTGTTGTAACTTATTTTGTTACATGATAGGAGATATTCTTATACACATGTATGACAAAAATTAAATAATTACGATTTGATACTAATGAAATAAAAGGGAAAGTGAGGACGTGACATCATCAGCTCACTCATTTCATATTCATGATGACATGCATACAACTGTTTCAGAGCAATTCCAAGCTAGTCTTCATGAGTTACACGCTGTTTTATTCATGGCAATGAAGAATTGCTGTAAGAAGGAAGAATAGTACACTACCAGCATAAGTGTACCTTAAAAAAAACCCATGTAAAGCCCAAAACAATAGATATGGTTCACAGAACCTACATGTATTGTTCTGTGCTGTTAAGTCTTCTATTGTTCTGGGCTGTAGTGTACTTGTTGTGAACAATGTACTGTCCACTTAATACAGAGCGTGAACAAACAAAAAAGAAAGAGCAGTCAATACTCTCCTGGGCATAACTTCCTGCCTTGCTATTGTCCAATAATTAGGGAGTTAGCAATCTTTGTGACCAAACTTTGTTGTGAAGCTTGTTTTCTGTCATGAATAGCTACACATATACATGTATATTAGTCTAGGAGATAGGGGGCTTTAATCAGAATTTTTGCTGGGGAAGGTTTGAAAAGCCTATCCGGTGTAAAATTTGGCGCTGATTCCAAAAATGTCAGTCTTATTTACCGTCCTCACGCAATTTTGGCCACTTTTTGACCAAAAATGACCATTTTGACCACACTTTGGAAAAGGGTCATTTTACAAAATGCTTTTATAATCAAAGCTGATTAAAAGGGTCTATCTGATGTAAAAATGTGCCCAGACTCTAGAAAAAGTGGTTTTATTGACCAAATCATGAACTCGTGGTCATTTTGGCCTTTTTTTGGCCCAAAATTACCTATTTCATGATTTTTTGGTCCAAAATATGATAAAGATGTTGATCAGAATCATCAATACAATGTGTTTGGACAACCACAATTATTATCAAAATGTGCATTGGTTCCTAACAATCAATCCCATTCAATTTATGTAAACAGTTTTGACCATTTCGTTCTTTTTGGCTGCTTTGGGCCGAATTGACCATTTGCGTAAGTTGTATAACAACTTTATATTTGTAATCAGCAAGCTGAGGTCTTCATCGGAATTTATTCACTTCCTTTTTTAAAATGGAAAATTATTCATAAGCCCATTTGATGTAAAACTTTCGCTGATTCCAAATATATCAGTCTTATTGACCCTATTATCTAGCTTGTGGTCATTTTGGGCACTTTATGACCCCTAAATGACCAATAGCATCATTTCCATTTATCCGCAAAGAGTTCAAATGTTGCTCAGAATAGTTATCAAGGTGTGTTATGACACCCATAATCAGTGCAAAAGTGTTCGTTAATTTCCATATATACAATCATTTAACGTAATCAAATTATTTTGACCATTTTTCGCCATTTTGGCCACCCTGACCATTCGCACAATGTGTATACAAACTTAACATATATGAACAGCAAATTTAGGTACCAGTATGCGTAAATATTCAGATTAATTTTCTAAGATGGGAAAGGTTTGAAAGCTCATCTTATGTAAAACTGTTTGCTGATTCAAATATATCAGTCTTACTGACCCTGTTCAAGAGCTTATGGTCATTTTAGCCACTTTTGGGCCCCTAAATGACCAATAACATCATTTCCATTTGTCCAAAAATAGTTCAAATTTCACTCAGAATCGTTATCAAGGTGTGTTATGACACTCATAATCAATGCAAAAGTGTTTGTTAATTTCCATATATACAATCATTTAACGTAATCAAAGTATTTTGACCATTTTAGCCATTTTGGCCACCTTGACCATTCGCACAATGTGTATACCTACAAACTTGACATATAACAGCAAATTTAGGTATGCGTAAATATTCTGAGTCCTTTTTTTAGATGGGAAGGATTTGAAAAGCTCATCTTATGTAAAACTGTGCGCTGATTCCAAGTATATGAGTCTTATTGATCCCATTTTCTCACTAGTGGTTATTTCGGCCACTTATTTGGCCCCAAGTGACCAACAACATCAATTCCATTTATCAGAAATTATTTCAATGTTTACACAGAATCGTTATCATGGTGTTTTGTGACACCCATAATCAGTGCAAGGTGTTTAATCATTCTAATACAATCATTCACAATGAATTACTCATATTTTGACCATTACGGTCATTTCGGCCACCTTGACCATTTGCGCACTGTGTGCACAACCTTGACATTAGTGAGCAGCAAATTAAATTTTGCATAAATATGCACATTCCTTTTGTAGATGGGCTAGGTTTGAAAAGCTCATCTATTGTAAAGTTTTACTCTGATCCCAAACATACATGTATTAGTGTTATTGACCCTTTTCACAAAATTGTGGTCATTATGACTACTTTTTGGCCTCTAATGACCAATAACATCATTTCTTTTTATCTGACATGTCTACAAAGAGTTCAAAATATAATTGAGAGTCATTAGGAAAGTGTATTACGACACTCTAATTCAGTGCCAAAGTGTCATTTATGAGAATGGATAAGTGCCACTTTGACCAAATTTGTCCATCTGCATTATATCCATGCCAAACTTGATATCTATTGGCAGCAATACTAAGTTTGCGTTAGGCTCTGGAGGGAATTTTCTATTCTTTTTATAGACGGGAAAGGTTTTAAACTGACAACTTTGTAATTTTTGCAGAGATTTAATGATTACCAGTCTTATTGAGCCTTTCAAACCTTCCCTATATTAAAGGCCAAATGCAAACATCAACTAGCTGCTCACAAATCATATCGAGTTAAAGACGTTTCATGAGATTAATTGCATTGGAAGAAATATACATTTAGAGTGAATTGATTTGCAAAAACGAAAGTCAAGAAGACATATATAATTCGAATTATTTAAAAAAAAATAAGGTAAGCTTCCTAAACATTTCTCATCTAAAACAGGTAATCTGATTGGCCCCTTAGACCACAACTTTGGCAAATGGTTAAGTTGGGTCAAAGTGGCCAAAATGGTAAAAATGTTTTGAATGTATGTTCATAATGAATGATTGAATCTGAATTATCAAACACACTTTTGCACTAATTTTGGATGGCAAAAAAAACTTTGACAATGATTCTGAATAAAATTTGGACTCTATTTGGATAAATGGAAATGATGTAATTGGTCATTTGGAGGCGAAAAAGTGGCCAAATTACTACAAGTTTGTGAAAAATTTGGAATCAGCACATAATTTTACATAGGATGAGCTTTTCAAAACTAGCCCATCTACAAAATGATTTAAGCAAACCTAAATGTGCTGCTTACTAATGTCAAGTTTGTATACATTGTGCGATTGGTCAAGGTGGCCAAAATGACCCAAATGGTCAAATTGCTTGGAGAAATTCAATGTGAATGATTGTATTGATATTGATGATCATCTTTCCGCTGATTATGGGTGCCATACCTCACTCTAACAATGATTCTGAGTGAATTAGAACTATTTTCGGATAAATGGAAATATGTTATTGGTCATTTAGGGGCCAAAAAGTTGCCAAAATGACCACAAGCAAGAGAATAGGGTCAAGAAGACTGATATATTTGGAATCAGCGCACATTTCTACATAAGATGAGCTTTCAAATCCTTCCCATCTAAAAAAGGACTCCGAATATTTACGCATAGAGATACAGATACAGCCTTGCATAGCAACCAATGCGTGTACCAGCAAACGAGTAATGCATTTTTGATTGGCTATTGTGGCGCGGATTGATAAGCTACAGTGTTCACTATCAGGAAATGAGAAGAACTTTATAGTCTTTGCCAGAAAAAAATGATTATGACGCAAAATTGACTTTTTGTTACAGAGCATGAGGTCACCAATAATGGTGTTTAGTGTCCATTTCAGAATTTAAATGTGTATTTACACGTTTATTTCTTCAATATCTTGTCATCTATGGCCTTTATTTTTAGGGTGTTAAAGACTTTCACTCAATAATTCTGAAAAAATCAGCTCAGCTGTGCAAGCCTTCTTTGCGGAGAGCACTCTCAAAGTTGGCAAAGATGAAGAAAAAAAGTGCATATTTCAAGGTTATGGATCACCCTTAGTCCCACCAAGGAGTGCTATCACTTGTATCAGTTTGTGTGTTCTGATAGACATTTACCACTATTTTCTTGGGTTACCAAAACAATTTTGTTCCCGGAAGGTTTAATGGCTAATTTACTCCACCAAAAATGTTTGTAAACTCCTGTAAACAGCCAAGAAGCCTATTTTTGTGCTTTAGGAGGACATTCAAATTTTCCTATCTTTGACTTGAAAGGCCCCATCCCTATATTTGCTGTGAGGATAGTCTTTTCAGGTGGGCTGTATCTAATACAGACCACCTTATAATTTTGTTAAAATTGCCTTTATTTATTTATTTCTTTATTTTTCTTATTTCCACCCACTTTTTTGTTAGCAAGATAACTTTGACATGGTTCAATTAAATACCTTGAAATTTGGCACACATATGTATAGGCATATGGAAAAAACACGGTAAAGTTTTTAACCTTGACCTTGACTGATGACGTCATTTAGGCGCCATTTTGTGAAATTTTCTGAAAAAAACCTTATGATCATATCTTCATAACCAGAAGTAATTTCTCATTCATATTTATCATGATCAAGGTCAATATCCGTCCTGTCAATTTTGGGTCAAAAAAAGCGCGCGTGCGCGTACGTCCGCGCGCAAAATTTTTAAATGCTCAAAATCGTCTCTAATTTCGTTTGCATACGTTTTAGGCCATTTTAAGCACTTTATAAAAACATCACGCGCGCGTTTTGGTGCGTAACACCATTACACAACATAAAATCACCATTTTTTTTCTTCATGATAATATCTATATTTTTTCAAACAATTTGATACCATGTTCATCTCCTTATAAGGGCCATTCCATGGTAACTCGCGTTACACCTAATGGGTACATTGACACGATAATGTGCCTATATCTTTAGAACTGCTAGGATCTACAAGATACTTTTTTCAAACATGGACAGGGTAGATATAGAACAACTGAATGAAACAAAAAAGAAAATTGAAGAACAAACATTTTTAGATTCTTGGATTATTGAATTTTGGTAACTCGCGTTACAAAAAAAGGACATGGTCAATTCTATGAGACCCTCTTTTGGCAAAGTCTCCTCATACTAGACAATCTTGACAAAATCTTTCCTACGTTGATAGTAGGTTGAGACTTACTAGTATAAGATCACAATATTAAAGATAAGAAACAATGGACTAGTAAAATGCAGGAAGCAAATATGTCGGTAACTCACGTTACGGTAACTCGCGTTACATTTTGTCCGGAGGCCATTTTCACCCCTATGTAATAGATTAAATATCCCTGGACCCCTTAGAAAAGGCTTAGAATATGGAAATATATTCATCTTTTTCAATTTAGCGAAATTTTCAGGAAAAAATATTACAAGAATCCTGTGTAATCTGCAATAAATTGTTTTTTTTTCATCTACAGTCCCACATGTACGTTTTTGATGATGGTTTGAGATCTTAGGAAATCAACAAAAATGAAAAATAAATTGTATTGAATTTGAAAGGCCCTAATGTTTTATGAACATCCATGGCATAAGGTTAGTGATAAATCAAAAAATTAACATAAGAGGTACATTTCTTTTTTTGATGTCATGTCCTTCTTCTCATGGAATGGCCCATAACCATTAATATTAAGATGAGCGTCCATTCAAGATAAATGTCCGTGCGCTCGTGCTCTTGTAATACATAGCATATATGGGCAAAAACTTGCCTATACAAAATCCATTATAGCTCTTTTGGATAAACCGGGACCCCCAATTTTGTTTACATATTTGGATAGAGTATGAGTCGGAAATATGAAATCATGTCTCATTTTGGAATTACAAATATCATGACGTTGTCATAATGGCCTTGGAACTCAAAATACGAATTTGCATATTATGACGTCAGCATATTTATGGGAAATTGATTGTATCTCTGTAAATGATGACCGATTTTCTTCCAAATTTTGATATGTTCTAGCTGAGACAATTTTCCACATATGCAGTATCAACAATTTTTCATTTTGACAAAGGCATCATGGCGTATTTTTGCGATTAAAGGAGGCATGTCAATTTCCCACATTTTGCGTGTATTCTCTATGGGACATGACTTTTTCTCAAAACTGGATTCTACATTTCCGTCTTTCGCGAGTAATATCTCCGTTGTTTTAGCTTCGTTTTCGCTGAGCTTCGAGTATGATGTAGCTGAGACAATAAGCTATCATATGTGTGCCCTTTATTTTTCTATCAGATGCCGGAATCATGCTCATATTTCACTTGCAAAGTGGGATTTGAGAATTCCATTTATCGTTTACGTGTAATCGCTATGGGAAATGTTTTGGTATATCGGTAACGCACTTGACTTCCGACCTCGAGATCCCTGGTTCGAGTCCGGGCGTTTCCAACAATTTTTGTCTTCCCTTTTTTTTTCTTGTTGACCTTTCACTGTACCATCTCCTTTGAATATTAAAACACGTACAATCGCAAATAATGTAATAAACACCCCCTCTTTACTTTATTATTACACTATTTTCACTTGATCCATTACTTTTTGCGTGTAATCCCTATGGGAGATAACTTTTTCTCAAATCTGGATTCTATATTTCTGTCTTTTGCGAGCAATAACGCCGTTATTTCTGCTTGGATTTTTGAGTATGTTGTAGCTGAGACTATATGCTATCTTAATCATCCCTCATTTTTTTTAATAAGATGTCAGGATCACGCCCATGATCATGATCATCATCATTGTCATAATGAAGATTATCATCATCGACATCATCATGATCATCATCATTATCAACATAATCATCATTATCATTGTCATCATCATCACCATTATTATCATCATCATCATCAAGATCATCATTTTGAAGCAGTATCTCGCTTATTTTTGCTGTATTTTGTCTCAAATTTTAGTTGACCAGCCCACCTATACTTGTTCCAAACAAGTATTACATGTCTAGTTTTAAATATATATTTCAATAATATGTACAACAAGCTACTCTTTCTGCATGAGTGTAACCTTGAAACCACATACACTGTACATATATTCCACCTGCAATGTGCATGTATTACTATATATATATTTTTTTTGTGCAAAACAGGATGTCGGATTTCACATGAGGGCACTTCTGGAAAGAGGAGGAAGCAATCATTTCAGCAAGAAACAAATGTAACTGGACATTCAAAGGTACATTTTGTTTGCTCTATTTATTTGTTAAATCAATAGACTGTTCCACGTACTAGTGAAAAATATACACAGGGGCTGAGGGCAATTTAGCCCCCTAAATGTCCAAAATAGCCCCTTTAAATTACCATTGGGTTCAATACAAAAGGTAATTTTGAATGATCAGAAGCAGGAAATATAGCCCCCGTAGACAAAATATTGATTTTTTTTTTGTCCCCCTCTGTAGAAACCTATTTGTCCTGTGTTTTTTTTTCGGGGAGGGGGGGGGGGGGATGGGGGGTCCCGGGTGGTTAACATCAATCTCTTAGTTCTGAGGTAAACTCTAGTTGTAATGACCACAAATTGGATTCTAAAAGAATCCAACAAAATGACCACCAATATATATATATATATATATATATATATAGTGTTTTTCCAAAAATATGTTACACTTTAGTAATATCTGTTAAAATTACATATCAAACTATGAAGAGAATTCATTCATGTTGATAGAGGCTCTATAGTCTCATCTATAAAATGCCACTAAAAAGAAAAAAAATTGTTCACACTTGAGCAAACAATGACCGCTTTTGTCCAGAGTGTCAAAAAAATGGGCTTGTGTCAAAATCAAAGAAGAGGGGAAAATTAAATCAGCAGTCTGAATTTAGTACTCTCAACCAAATTAATGGCTCTTTTGCCTACATTCATTATGTTAGAATCATGTGTCATTTTCCCACAATGACAATAATTTTAATGATTGCTTCGCTTTACGTATGAATGAGGATTAGTCATTTGCAATTACTTCAAGTTGTTTTAAGCACAGTAGAAACAATGCACAGACACATCAAATCAATGTGCTTGTCATTCAGTAAAGGAGAAAAGCACCAAATAAATTTTTGATGTCGATATTTGCCCAATAAGTATTATGTTCTAGAGAAAAAATGAATATCCCTTTATTCTTCTGGTTCACTTTTAGTCAATGTCACACTCAATAAAGGGATTTTGCATCGTTAATGAGAAAGGCTGGTAATTTAGACAAATCCCTTCGTTGTCTGCAACCATTGTAATTACACATCTTTTCATGTTCATGTACATGTGTGTTTTCATCTGACCATCAGGTACAGACAGAAGACAGAGCTACCTGTACACTACCATGTGAAAGGGCCGAGTTGCAGGAAAAATGCCAACCTCGAGAGTGTGCGAGTAAAACATTTTGTCTTGGATCTGTAAAGTGCGGAAATGTTTACAAGGTATGTAGTTTTCTTTTTTTTCTTTTTTAATGTAACGTAATGTTAATACATGTACATGTATGTGTAGACCTCATTTATACCATCGTTAAGTGATTGTTCACCTTCTTCCCTTCCTTTTTCTTCTTCTCAGTTTTCCCCACCCCTCCCCCTCCGCATCCCTCTCTCTCTATTTTTTTTTTCACTCTCTCTCATGCTCTTGTACTTTCATCTACAATTTCCCCCCTCTTTCTCAAAATTAGCTAAGCTCTATTCTGATATATGATTATTCTATAGTGTAATAATTATATATTTCATACCTGATTGCAATCGTTATATGCCATGTATTTTTATTATGTTTCAATTTAACTTGTATTGTTTTTACCATGTATATAGACTTGTAAAAATATTGTACAATTCAGCTCTTTATTATTATATTATTTTACATCCAAGGCCCTGTGAAATTAATTCTTGGTGATTTACCCTCCCTCTTCCTTGTTCGCACCAGTCTCTTCTTTGCTTTTGATTTTCACTAGAAAGAATAGTAAAAGGTACCAATGAAGATACATGTACCTATTATATATCACAATTTTTATGCCTCTGCCCACTGTAGATGGTTGCCAGAGGCGTTATGTTTTCGGGTTGCCCGTCTGTCCCGTTTTTGTTCTCGTGATAACTTGAAAACTGTTAAATGGATCACCTTCAAACTTGGTTCATGTATGTACATGTAGGAGTGACGATGATCACAGAGTACCTGAAAATGGCCTGTTCTCGCAATAACTAAAGATTTATTCGACTGATCAACTTCAGACTTGGCTCATGCACATATGGAAGTGACATTGATTTGATCGGATTTTGGGATCATGGGGTCAAAGGTCAATCATAAAAATTGCTCATTCTCGGAATAACTTAACAGATCTAATAAACAAATCAAATTTAAACTTGATTCATATATGCATATGGGAGTGATGATCTGATTGGAAATTATGAAAGTATTTGAAAATGTCTAATATATTTCAATTCTGGCTATGGCGGAGGCATCAATTTTGACTGCGCGCAGTCAAGAATCCATCTAGTTGAATAACAGAATATCAAACTTTATGTTTCTTGTCTAAAACCAAGAAAATTAACAGCTCCCAGATCGAAGTTGATAGTACGGATGTTATATCGTGACAATCTTCTTAAGGAAAATATCAAGTATGAAATAAGACATTCAAAAAAGCCCTGATGATTAACAAAAGTAATAAATTTGATGTGGTCTTAAACATACATGTAAATTCCAGCTGTGGTAACGATCAGAAAATGGGTTCGAACAGAATCCAATAAAATACCAACCAAGTGTTTGTATGTATAAATAAAAATTATGTGCCAAATAAATCTGGTAGAAAATGAGTAATTGCTCAGTAATTAGCAAAATAAGCATGGCATTGTGCCGGTTGATGGGTCTTTTTCCAAGCAATAATAATACACGTTCCCACTTCTGCTTATCTGTGTTGGCGATCTTCAGCGTACCCGGTTTTCAGCCTAGATTTCAATATTTGACAACGTTTGGTGGAATAAACTATGTAAGGACTATATATGATGTTATGGTAAAAATTAACCTTGATTTGAAAGACTTTCTATCGAAATTATTGCGCAGTGCGACTTCTGGCATTTAGCTTTGATAGTACTAAATTACACATACGACCAGATTCTTATTTTATTGTTACATGTATATTACTTTATGTGTTAGATTATGACTTGTTATCGAAGCAAGGAAAGTTTTTTGAACCTCTGAACCAGTGCTTGCTCTATGAATTTATATATCACCTATCAGAGCTTGATATTAAAATAAGGAATTGGATGGTTTTCCCTTTTTTATAAGGTTTTGGGCGTTGAAATAGGAAAATAGCTTGCAGGTGACTAAATGTTTCATCAGAAAGCAAGAAACCTCTAGGCCATGTCAGACTTGCAAGATTATTTGTGTTGTACAACACCTTGGAAGTTTGAGAAATTCATGACAATCAGGAAAAATAAATGAATTCTTTGTACAGAAATCAACGTTTTGAAAATGGGGAAAGAATTCCAGACTGCATTAAAAATATGCTGATAGCATGTTATCTTTTAAAGACAGTAAAAACCTTTTGCATGCCTAAAATCTCACATTACGTGAACCCAGCAGCATATTGAAGAGTTTCATTGATAATAACTTCCCACCAACTGATTAAGCTGGAAGATGAGTGGGAATAATTATTTTTACGTTTCTTTAGATTGATAAGTATTTTTTCGATTATTGAAATAACCACCGAACTCAGCAAGCTTGATGCCAACGGCTATAGTCATGTGCAATCACGTCCAGTACATGTGAATGTGTTGTGTCCGGCGGGCAGCACCAGCTAGGCAGTGCTAGCCCTATGTGCAATACACACACAGCCATTGACCAGTTCGGACACACATTCTGGTACAGGCACTCATCTAGTCCATGCTTGTATTAAAAATGTTTTCACTGTTCACAGGAAATCGGGACAGTTTTCCGTTCTTACAAGAATGTTGCAAAGCCAAGGGCTATAATATTCTATACACATGGTCAGAATGGTATACTGTTGGATCACTAAAATCTTCAAGGGGGTTTCCAAAAATCTGCAAATGGTTTTTACTATCTTTAAAGTGATTTGGTAACTAGACCTATGTAAAATTTGAGCTACATGATCCTACATGATGCATGTTATATAGTGTAAAGATGAAGCCCTGAAAAATCCTTGGCAAAAGACTTATTATGTACTTCAAACGATGTAAGAATGTGCAAGTGACAGGAATTGCCAGATGATTTTTCCCTCATTGAATGCAGTGTTATATTTTGGTACCACAGAGCCATTTCATGAATGGCACTATTCAGTCATAGATACATGTAGCTTGATAATAATATCATTCATGTAAAAACCTCCATACTCCCGGTTCTTTAACTATCCATCTGAACATAATTATATGCCACAAACATAAGAATTTAACAAATGATTCATTGAAGGTTCCACAAAGTTACTAAGACCCTTTAAAGGGGAAGTCCACCCTGACATCAAGTTGGTTTTATTAAAAGCAGAAAAATGAGAGAAACATATTAATGAAGGATTGGTGAAAATAGAAGAATAACAGAGTTAGGAATTTTTAATTTTTTAATTTTGTAACATCACATGCGAGCAGCTCCCCCATAATTCATGTAATATAAATTCCATAAAGTGCCATTTTCTTAGAAGATTGAAAATGCTTTAATTCAGTGATCGTTGTCGTGGTTGAAATCGAGTCTAAAGTGATAAAATTGTAAATAACAAACTCTTTATGTTGTATAGCGCCCTCTCAAGGTGAAGATATTAATTTAGCTATAAACACACACACACACATATAAAACAATGTTATTTGACAAAAATCGACCGATTTGCTATTACCGTTTGGAATATATGTATCAGATCTGCATATTCCGAGATTTTGATGGTGGCAGCTACTGTCGTTTGGCCGTAGGCGCTATTTCAAATTTATCAAAATTTACTGGGAGCACCGGTAAATTTTTATATTCAATTTTTCTCGAAAGCAGAAGAGTTTTAGGGGCTAAAATTTTTAGTGCTTATAATACATCCATAGGGGCATCCAAATATATCAAAATTGTAAAGAATCACTATCCAGCCAATTTTCAAAATTTACCAAAACTTTGTAATACCTTTAATATGTTTCGCTCATTTTTCTGCTTTTATTAAAACCAACTTGAAGTCAGCGACTTGCAATTCGTGTTTACTTTGAAAGCTAAAAGTGACGTCACAAAAGAAACAAAACAAGTAATTTACATGTAGAAGTAAATCAATTACAGGCACAGTTAGAAAGCGCAAAGCAGTGAATAGTATACGCAACAATCTTATTGTGACGTCATTTGGCCGTGAAATGGTACATTTAGGATGGTATTTTGGTCTCATTTTACAGCTAAATAAGACAGGTACATAAAGTAATCCAACTCTATATGTAATAGGAATTAATTAATTAATGGTTAATAATGATAATTAATGATAAAATACCTTATATAATCTTTGTATTACAAAAACTCACAAGATTAATACGTTATCATGATATTTCAGCTAAACAGCAAGGTATTTTCATGAAATTGGCCAAATCGCATGAAATATGAATATTCAAATTATTTGAATCCTTTTCCACAACTATTTGTATCTATATTTTTGATATTCGTTCCCAGGCCCATGTGGGACACACCTCCTACATGTAGTATATCTATACTCTTTTCACACTGGTTTTGCTTAACCCCGTACTTTGCTTAGCCCCGTACTATCCTTAACCCCGGACTATTTTTTTGGCTTTTCACACACGCTGTTTTTAGTCCCGTACTAGCGCCTATTCCGGAATAAGAAAATTCCCGCTGTTCTCACTGCATTTCGTTAACCCCGGATATCGTGCATGTTATGATTGGACATACTTCGCATCTGGCCAGCTGCGATACGCTCCATTGCGTAGTACCGGACTATTTTTTGTTTCTGTTCTCATTCATTTGCTTAGCACCGCAATTGCGGGGTTAGCAGGAGTTAGCACCACAATTGCGGAGTTAGCCCTGCTATTTTGCAGGGTTAGTTAACCCCGTACTATAGGTGGGGTTAGCCAACATTAGCCCACTTTGGTAAAAACCAGTCTGAACAGAAAGTGGATTAGGCTTAACCCCGTACTATAGGTGGGGCTAAGACCCCCCCCCCCCCCCTTTAACCCCACCTATAGTACGGGGTTAAGCAAAATATTGCCAGTGTGAAAAGAGTATAAGATACATGTATAAATCAGAGGCTAATCCAGGAATATGAAATACATATTGGGAGGCGCCAGGGCCTCAATGCTGAAAATAGCTGATCAGATTTTGGGTTCACAGGGTCAAAGGTCCATCATTTAAATGGCTCTTTCTCGCCATAACTTAAAACATACAACAAAGAAATCAAATTTAAACTTAAAATTCATGTATGCATATGGGAGTGATGATCTGATTAGGTATTATGAATTATTAGTTCCAAATGTGTAGTATACAGGTATTTCAGATCTGGCAATAGCGGAGGCATAAATTTCGACTGCGTGCAATTGAGATTCCATCTAGTTCCTGTTGGAAATCATTTTTTCATTTATTATTACAGGCTTTGTGTATAATTTTGTTTTAAAGTGACTAAAGTGTAATTTGTTTTTTTTTTGTTCATTGTTATTTTTTTTTTTATTGATTACAGCTCAAGGACATGGACATCTTCATGATGGTGACAGACATTGATGTAACAACCCAGCGTTGCAGTGGATGGCCAGTGAACACCAGCACCCTTCAAAAAGACATTACCTTATCACTAGATGTTAGTAGACTTGAAACAAAGGCACAAAAGGTGAATGGGGAAATGAGAAAAGTAGGGAAATCGATACTAGGCGATAGCTTTGCTGTCACTGTAAGTAATTGTCAAGACATGACATTCCGTAGAGATTTTCGTAGAGCACAGATAATGTCCGAGATAAAGAGCAATGTTGAGCATGCATTAAGTGTTTCATGTAGAACGTACAAGAAAAAATTTGACTTGGGAGTTGCCAATGTTGACACTGATTTGTCTTTCTTTGATCTCAGCCTTGTAAACAAAAGTGCCGAGTTTAACTATCGGAGGCAAAACCTTTCCCTCTTGGACGTTAACCTTGGCAAGCGTTGGGATATAAACCCTTGCCAAATCTCCAGGTTTGTTACCATGATAAGGATTTCACTCACATCCAGTTTTCATTTACAGGGGCTCATTAAAACAGCTGAATATCCTGGTCAGTTGACAGGTGACAGCTACCGCAGTGCTATCATGGCACATTTGCAAAAGACTTCATAGAGTAGTCTTTAGTCTTGTGTAGCTGAGCTTTTCTTTTGATAATAGTAATACATGTACATGTTGGAATGGTTTTTTGATATTACAAGGCGTAAACTATGGAATCCCTCCAATGTATTGTGATTTACAGTTTTTGAAAGATACTTTTGGCAAATATATGACCCAAAACACAATAAAAAAACACTGACAGTACTATCATAAACTTACCCCAGGGCTGTTAGTGTTACACTCCTGTAGGTTGCTTCATTGCATCATATCTATTTGTCCAAAATATTATTTAAGGATATTGTACAGTACGGTGTACAGTGTACCTATTCATGTAGGCCTAACTACTTCTTCTGATAAGATACTTTACCAATACAAAATGATGTATTAAATGACGATTTAAAAAAAGGAAACAATCAAACAAATCTCATTAGAGAATAGGACCACCAAGATGTTAAAAAGCAAGAAGAGATAGTAAGCAAATATTAATCGACTACGAGGGTAATGGTACAAACTATCATCGCCTCTGTGATCTCGGGGCTACTATCTTCCCGAGCCGCAAGGCGAGGGAAGATGGTAGCCCCGAGATCACCGAGGCGATGATAGTTTGTATCCATTGCCCAAGTAAAGGAGGTTAATATTTGTTTTATATCCCACATCGGCAATAAGGTCTATTTAAAGTGAATTTTACATAATAATAAGAACTGATTCTGCAGACAGTTTAGTTTCAGCTAGATTTTACAAAGCGCAACATGCATACATGTAATACAGTTGATGCGCGCTCATTTGACATTGACATTGACTTTGACATTTCGCGTAACCTACTTTGCTATGCGTATTCAATGGGCAAGGGTGGGCAAGTGGGGTAGCAGCAAAAAATTACTTTACAAAAGTACTATCTCGACCTGAGATCGAAAGATAGTACTTGTCTATACCTTTTTCGTGCTCTGTACAATCGCAATGCAAACAACTATACATGAGGGATATATAATAAAGCATAGTACATAGTACCACGTTGTTGAAATGGAAAAAAAAAAAACAATTTTCAAAAGTAAACTAAAAAACCCATATGTTGATTACGTCAATATCTTACTCCTGCTGTGCGTTGTTTGGAGAGGCATCATACTGATGTTGAATACAGTTATTTGCAAGTATTTTTACCACTTCCAGTAAAATAGCTCGATTTAATATGCTCTTTACATTTCTGTAGGCCCTTTTGATCTGTCAGAGAGTGCAAATATTGATATAATCAGTATCTAAATGATTATCATAAAACGGATTTACGAATGTAGCCAATCACATGAGCCATATTGCTAATCCGTTTAAAAAAAGAAATAATGCACATGTTTGAATTCATGATTTTAGTGGTGATGCAGGCATCTTGGGTATTCACAATGTTGTGCAAAAGCGCCTTTTACTTGTTGCACCATTGTAAATACCCTTGAATGTGCGCTGCATTGCCATTAACACACTCTCACCTGTGCATTATTTGTATACTATTACTATTATTGTTATTTTTATTGTTTTTTATTATTATTATTAATGCACTGTATGAGTTTGGACTATACAGATGACTACAGAAGGATGATGTAAATTTTAGAATATTTATTTAAAAAAAAAAAAAAAAAAAAAAAAAAACCTACATGTATTCTTAATACTTATTATATATTCCTGCCATTATGTTATTTTAATACATGAATACTATGAACCATTCTAAAGGACGAGTCACACACTTTAGAAATGCACTTCACTGTGTTAAGCACAGCCATGGTACCTTAAAGGCGTCATGTGGAATAGATGCTTTAATTGAGGTTTATCGCTATGGGGTGTACCCAATCGATCCTGAACCTGCAGATTGTGGTGGATGCCCACTTATTAAGAAACTCATACATACGTGTGAACTTCTAAAGAAACAAGAACCAGTTTGTGAAATTCGTGAGGAGTTGTGGAATTGGCTGATATCCAATGTTCCCAGTTACTGTCCAAAAGGCAATTCCAATGTGGAAATTCTTCAGAGCTTTGAAAGATTCACAGACAAAAATGGCAAGTTCTGTGGAGTCTTTGAAGGAAAGGGAACATGCCCTGTGTGCAATGCACTGTATCCTATCCATGGACAGCTGGACCCTGTTCATTTTTATGACAGTTCCATAAATGCCAAGTTCAAAGGCAATATGGCTGGTGGTCTTGAATATATACTTCACAGAGAAATGGGTCATAAAATGAAGAAACATTTGTGCCCTTCGTGCTCTACTGCTTTACATGTATGTCCAATGGAAAGCATTAAACACAGAATGCCGCATTTTCTTGTGGTTTCGCTTCCTTTGAATGGAAAGGCAAAAAATTTCCAAAAACCTCAACTGATTGTTAAAGAGGAAATAACAGTGAATAACACACTGTACAAATTAAGAGCAGCAGTACAGATGACCCCAGGCCATTTCTTCACAATTGTGAAAGTGGGCAATCATTATGTTGTTATAGATGACCTGCTGTCTAAAGTATGTTACTTCCCAACATTTGCATCTGCTGTAATGAAAGATCAAACGTATCAAAAGTTTGCCAAGTTATCGGAATTACATGATGGTGTTCATATCTTAGTATATGGGAAGGAGCAAGTCGGTGATGTTCACCATAAGTCTATTGCAGGACACAATGACTATCCATCGAATGGAAAAGATGTAGAACGCCCGCCGGCTCACCCTCCTTCTAATGTGAAAGATAGAGAGCGGCCGCCAGCTCACCCTCCTTCAAATGGGAAAAATAGAGAACGCCCGCCGGCTCACCCTCCTTCTAATGTGAAAGATAGAGAGCGGCCGCCAGCTCACCCTCCTTCAAATGGGAACAATAGAGAACGCCCGCCGGCTCACCCTCCTTCAAATGGGAAAAATAGAGAACGCCCGCCGGCTCACCCTCCTTCAAATGGGAAAGAAAGAGACCAACCGCCAGCTCACCCTCCTTCGATTGCAAAAGATAAAGACAGGCTGACAGCTCACCCTCCTTCAAATGGGAAAAATAGAGAACGCCCGCCGGCTCACCCTCCTTCAAATGGGAAAAATAGAGAACGCCCGCCAGCTCACCCTCCTTCAAATGTGAAAGTGAAAGATAGAGACCAGCCGCCAGCCCACCCTCCTTCGAATGTGAAAGTGAAAGATAGAGACCAGCCGCCAGCTCACCCTCCTTCAAATGTGAAAGTGAAAGATAGAGACCAGCCGCCAGCCCACCCTCCTTCAAATGTGAACGTGAAAGATAGAGACCAGCCGCCAGCCCACCCTCCTTCAAATGTGAACGTGAAAGATAGAGACCAGCCGCCAGCTCACCCTCCTTCGAATGTGAACGTGAAAGATAGAGACCAGCCGCCAGCTCACCCTCCTTCGAATGTGAAAGTGAAAGATAGAGACCAGCCGCCAGCCCACCCTCCTTCGAATGTGAACGTGAAAGATAGAGACCAGCCGCCAGCCCACCCTCCTTCGAATGTGAACGTGAAAGATAGAGACCAGCCGCCAGCTCACCCTCCTTCGAATGTGAACGTGAAAGATAGAGACCAGCCGCCAGCCCACCCTCCTTCGAATGTGAACGTGAAAGATAGAGACCAGCCGCCAGCTCACCCTCCTTCGAATGTGAACGTGAAAGATAGAGACCAGCCGCCAGCTCACCCTCCTTCGAATGTGAACGTGAAAGATAGAGACCAGCCGCCAGCCCACCCTCCTTCGAATGTGAAAGTGAAAGATAGAGACCAGCCGCCAGCCCACCCTCCTTCGAATGGGAAAGCTCACCATGTATCTGAGGGTAAAGGTAAAGAGCAGATTCCAGCTCACCGTCTATCGGAGGTAAATGTTAATAGCTCCCCAACAGATCAGCCTCTTGGAGAGAATGAAGGAGGCCTCCCATCAGGTAATTTACATTCATTGCGAAATGACAGAGACTTCCGATCAACCCGTTTTCCTAAAAAACAAAGTGGGCAGACGTTTCGCCCAGAATGTGGCCTTGGAAGGCCTATGGCCTCTTCAACACCAGTGAAAAGACCTGATATGAAAAGGGATGTGGAAGAGGACACCAGTTTCTGTAATGTATCACTGAATCCAAATAAGCGACAAAGATTTGCACCATTTTATGAGTCAGAGAGCACAAAACATGATTTGTCCGTAGAAGATGAAGATATGTCCGTAGAAGATGAAGATATAACAGCACCCATAGGTATAACCAAACAAAATATGAGTGAAATGGATGTAGGGCAAAATATTGGAGCATGTAGGAATCCTGTGCAATTTAAGATATTGCAAGAGGAAATCAGTTCTCTGAGATTTATGAGTATTCATGGGAAAGAAATAGCATACACAAAATACAATGGCCAGATTTATTTTTCATTTGATATACTTAGAACATGTGGAATAAGGACATGTTCTGGTTATAGAAAAATTGATGAAGTATTGGAGCAATCTCCACGCAGAAAACTGGCAGACTTCTTACTTCGTGTGAGAAAGAGCAGAAAATGGATACTTAAGCAGTCACTGCTCATTCTGCTGAGAAACTATTCAAAGTATTTACAGGCAAGTAAAAATTCAGTGATAAGAAATATTTCCAATTTGAGATTTGATCAAAGTGCTAGTCAAGAGAAGAGGAATGAAAGTAAATGTAGCAATCAAAGAGAGAATGCTAGAACAGATCATCCCCACAACACTATGTTCCTGGGAAATGAATATGTTTATGTTTTTTCCAGAGAAGGAGAGGTCTTCATTGATTTTCATCGTGTTGTAGACCGTATAAAGGCAAGAGGACATGTCAAAAAGAACGGATGGAAATATGTAGACAGATGCCTCAAGAGTCATGGCATTCATGTTCAGTCTTCATTTTGTTCCAATCTGAACACAACAAATTCAAAGAAGACAAAGAGAGAATTCATTTCTTTGAGAGCTTTAGAAGTTATTCTAACTCATTTGAAAACAGGGGATGCATTAGAGAAAGAATCCTGTCTGAAGGAGATTCATCTTGAAGTTGAGAGACTTGCTGCTCAGGCAATTGATAATTGTCCTAAACATGTACATAAATCTGATGCGAAAACTCAAACAAATGAAGGCTCGGTACATTCTTCTAAACTGTGTTTGACACCTGAAGAATTGATTTATAATTCGGAAAATTTCAGTGGAAGTCGGCTCATCAATGCATTAAGAAAGAGCCTGCCAGGAGTCTTTCCATCCATCAGGAATGAGCAGACCGTTAAGAGAAATATGAAAAAGAACTTCAATGCCGTTTTACTCCCTAGGCGCACTGCTACAGGATGGGCTATAGACCCAGACCGCTTACTTGATGTACTCACCTTCAAGTACCCATTTCTTACTGGCAAATTGCATGTGAAGTTATGGGGTGATGGGAGGGAGTTTGGTGGCCGTCATAGCACAGCCTTAACACTCTCTATTATAAATGATGAAATGTATCTAAGGAACCTATCATTTCAAAACCCACATGCTATTTATCCAATCGCTCTTTTTTATGAAAGCGATTCGAGAGATAATCTGGAAATGAATCTCATCGGTTCTCGAGGGAACATTCTCCAGCAGCTTTTCAACAGACGCAAGAGAGATTTATTCTATTTGTCAGGAGATGAGATGTTTCTCATTAAGATGCTGGATGCATCAGGTCAGCTAAGTCCAACCTCTGAAAGGGGTTGGAATTTGTATCATACTTGTACCAAAGAGCAAAAGAAATGCATTGCCGACAGTGGTCAGCGCACTGATTTAGAAGCGAAGGTAGACAGACAACATCCTGATTCAATAGTTTCTTCAATTCCAACAAGCAAGATTATTTTTGACATCTTGCATGGTTTCACAAGGATTGTTGAAAAGTTGTTGAAACTAGAAGTCGAAAAGATCTTGTCTGAAGGCAATAAGCATGAGCAAGTGAGAACTTCTAATTCTGGTATGACACTTATCAGTAACCTGGTAAACAATATCAATAGACGAGGTATAAGAAGTGGCAATTTTGATATTAGATTTGACACAACTGGAAAGCCTGAGCCTATAACACTCAATAAGGACCATGCCCTTGGTATAATTAGTCCTCCTCCTGAAGGTAAAGGACAGGAGTATCCTCATGTGCTGTTCAATGTAGTTTCAAGTGCTCCTATATCTGATGAAATACAGATTGTTGTTGCAGAGTTTTTCAGCCATATGCCTATAAGCCAGTTTGACATTGTTGAAAAGATATGGCATAGTTTACATGAGATGTACGCAATATTGAGAACTGAACCACAGCCTGTTCTTATCAAAGGAAAACCTGAAGGATCCTTTATTGCTTCAGACTACACATGGGGATATGGTCAAGCAACTAGAGATGAGTACAAGCAACACGCTGAGTGTTTTTATAAGTTGTTCTGTTGCCGTTACACCTGGAAAAATCTGACACCTTACATGATAAAGTTTGTAGACACTGCCAGATATTTCATGGATAACCTTCAATTGCCTATATGTCGTTTTCAATCAGAAGGTGCAGAACACTTAAACTACTGCCATTCTTCCTACTTTTTCAACCACACTACTCGCCATGGTGGGAAGCAGCGAACAGACCCTCAGCATACCCTGTTAGCAACAATGTTCAGGAAGTTGTCCTATGAAATCAGTGTTTCTGAATGTGAGAAAGACTTTGCAGATTTTGTTACAAGACATGTATCTGCTTGTAAAATACAGTCCGCATACAGAGGATACTATACAAGAAAAATGCTGCAGGAAAGAGGATGGACAGCTACTCCTTCCAATGATGCTGATATCAGGCACAATGGAAATATCTTGAATGAAATCCATTCTATTCAGAACTTCACATGTACATTTGAGGAAACACCAACAAATCTGTTCACTGGCCTCACATTTCTCTTTGTTGGTTATGTACCAACATGTGCACATAGTAAGAAAAGATGGACCCAGGATTTGTTGCAAGCAAAAGTTGAGAGCCTTGGTGGACAGGTATGTAAAGGTTTGCCAGGATGTTTGAAAGGGCGGTCAACAAAGGTGTATCATGTACTCATCAACAAGGCAATCCTTGGTACAGGAAAAATTCATGACAACTTGAGAAAGGCCTACCAGAGGAGATATGTTATCCTCCAATATGAATTTGTGTTTGAATGTTTAAGGCATAATAGCATGTGTTCTCAAACAGACTTTGTGGTTGATTTGAAAGAATTTCTGGACAATGTTACACAGGAGCAAACATTAGGAGCTCAGCACTTCAATAAAGTGCCTAGGATGATAAGTGTTATAAAGAAACGAAAGAAAAAAATGCCCTTGTCTGATCATCCTCGAAAGATATTGGTAGAAAAAAATTCAGCAGTCTTGTATGCTAACATCAAAAGGAGAGAGGTCATTCAAGGAAGGAATGTTCCTTTCCATGATCAGAGTAAGATTATAGGTAGTTTTTGTAAGGAATACAGAGATCTTCCTTCAGAACAAAAAGATTTCTACAAAGATATGTGGAAAAAAAAGAAGCAAATGGTTGCTTCTGTTGAAAAAAAGAGGAGAGATTTGTTCACTTACAATTCATCAGATGAAAGCCTGTACAAAAAGTGTACATATTTGAGGTTATGATTGACATCACCATTTGGAGAGTTGACATGCGAGCTAGAAGTTGATGCTAAATTATTCAAGTGCATGTGGAGTATTTTGCATTTGCAACTCCCTACATACAAGTTAGATGATCAATATGATTCCAAGATGATATGCTAATACATGTATGTCTCTTTGATACAGCTGATAATAGTAATTGCGTAAGCAACGATTTCTTCTTGAAAATATTAAGTTAAGTTGTACATTTTTGCTTTCTTTGTCAGTTGCTTATAATCCTTGAAAAATGTTGAAAACAAAGTTAAGGATTTTATTTTCTTTAATGTAATTGCAAGACGGAAGTAGAGGTGCCAACATTGCCATTTGTTCCATTGGAACATAGATGTTGAATTTCTTGCATTTTTCAGGTATGTTGTCATGCCTATTATGTTTCATATTTTTGCATAATATTTGAAGATTGGTGATTTCTCAGTTGCAAGATGCTATTCCTTGCATACAATTCCACAATTACATGCCAACATTGCTCATTCCCCCAAAAGCATATTCTGGTATTTACATATATTTACATGTATCATCACTATGGCGACTAGGCCTTTTGTTTTTGCTTTAATGATATGATTTAATGACTAAGTGGAGTCCTGTCTGAATACCTGCTCTCTATCTCAAAAAAGGAAGCTACTACACCATGTCGAAGGGATAACTGTCCCATTGGCAGCCATGTTTTTTTTTCACTCTCCCGAACATTTCCCTATTAAGAATTTGTCACCCTAGCGGGATACATGTACTCATATGATGATGGAGAGTTATTTCTTACTACTCTCTTTGGTTATATAGTGCATAGTGGTATAAGTGCATGCTCTGGAGTTGAATATGAAGTCTCAAATCCATGCTCTGTGATACCATCCATTTGAAGGGTGCATGTAAATATACTTTCTTCTTTTCAAGTACAACTATAATTGTACAGTCTTTATGAAACTAGGCGAGGGAGGGTGATTCATTCCATTGTGCCTTTGTTTCCTCATTGCTTGATGTGGATATGAGTGCAATAAATTGACAAATTGCAATAAATTGCTCTTCAAGCTAGTCAAATGATTCTTGTGCAATGTAAGAAAGTGGCAAAGTGCATTAACTTAGCCTGCCATACACTACCACAATACGACTGCGCCCAGATTTCAGAACAAACAGCATTTTGCATTGACACACTCTAGAAAATTTTATAAAATAAGTGCCAATACATCTTTTTGAGACAACTGATATTATACACACCAGTAATTGTCTTCATATTTATGTTTTAGGATTAGAATATGCATGTATATTTTTATATTCTTTAGATGTTAAAATTATTTTTGTCTCCATCATTTCCTTCATTTGCATACATTTATATAAGATGACTGTAAAGTTAAGATGTTATTTTTCTGTGCTATATATATCTTCTAACAACTCAGATTTGTACATGTTAATGTTGCTGTAAAGTGTAAATAAGAGGTGTATTGTTCAAATTATGTAGTAGTACTTGAATTTATCGGGTACTGTGCACAATATACTTGAAGAATTTGAACTTACTTAGGATATTATCCCTTTCAGATGATTTTGAAAATGGCATCCATACATTGCTCATCCAATAGTGAAAATTGCCTACTAATACATGACTAAATGCCATTCTGCAATATGTATGATGTCTGATTTGGATAATTATGGGGGATTTCACATACATTGCCCTCACAAGTTCCATGTTGCCCTCTTAGAATCGGGCAATATTAGACTTGTTTGAGCAATTTATAGGTATTTTGCTCAAGGCCAGTCAGTACACGTAAAATTATCCTGACACTGAGTGAATTTTATTGTTGATATAGGCACTTTGGACAATAATCTGATTTAATAGTACACGTGTATGTCAGAAAGTGTATACCAAGATTGTATCATGAAATTAAACCTCATCTCCAACTTCTATAGTAGACAAAATATTGATCTGACACTGACTTAATAATCTAACATTTTCTGCCTTGGATAGAAATATGTTCAAAATCATATGATATTCTGCTCATGATTTTTTTTTAAATTTCAGTGTATTTCTGAAATGAGTGTTTATAATGGCCACTTTTTTAACGCTAGAGGAAATTGTCAGCGGCTTTGGCCACATGCACTCCCACAGTGATGCGCACAGTGTTTGGTTTTGCACATGAATTCACAACCTTGATAAAAAATTGGCCTAGGATTAGTATTATATAGACTATTTTGCCCTTCAATTTGTATTACCTGAATGTGTCAAAGTTTTAAGTTTTTGCTTATATTGTTCAAAGAGTGGTGATAGCAAGTTACGATATATTTTGGTTTTCTTTTTTCTCTTTTTGCTTTCGATATCATTTGCATTGTTAATTGGGCCTAAACGTTTAGAATACGTTTTTGATGAAGATTCTTTTTAAAATTTATTTTGGGTGGGGGTGGTTATTGCTTGTTTGTTTCAGACAATCACAATTTAGCTATTTTTTGTAAATGATTTTTAAGTATCAAGATAAGATGTTATAATTACACATGTACCGTATACTGTATTATTGTAGGTCACTTAGAGACTTGCCATTTATAACACTGTTAGATGCTGTACAAAAAAGTATATGTATTAATTGTCATTGATGTTGCATGTACTTGCCTCTCTCTTGTAACCAATACACGTATTTATGTACAGAGGCTTTTACTACTGTTTGAATGTATATTTTTAAGGCTGGTTTACACGTACATGTATGTCAGAAAAGTTGTATATTTCACATAGCAACTGATAATATACCCTTTTTATTTATAAAAAGGGATATAAGTTTATTGACTTGAAGAACAGGTTAATTTTGAGAATGATCATTCATTGCTAATCATTTGGTACAATTCAGACAATGTAAGGACATACTTGAAAGGATTTAGCTTAATCTGAGCAATTTTTTTGACAATGGCTGTCGTTTGATTCAGTACCTGGAACAAAGAACAAATAACTGATATTGTTGGCTCACTATCAACATTACACATGTATGTTTAGTTTGGTGTATAGTGTATAGGTGGGGAGTTTCTCGGGGGAAGTGGGGGGAGGGGGGGGGGGAGTTGACATATTGAGGGCAAATTGCCCTTAGCTTCCATGTATTTTTCCCCCATGCTGGAGACCCCCCAAAATTTCACTAAAAGATTTAAATCATTGTTTGTGTGAATATTGTGATTTTTATAAAACTTCCTTGAATACCTTGCCAATTAGATTTTCTGTTATTTTGTTATTTTGACAGTACCCTCTTTTTTCTAAAATGACACATTAAGATCAAATTATCTATGTAGCCTATGACAAGATATAATGAAATGTCAAATTTGTATTTGCTCACTCACTTGGCTTGCTCACAAATTTAAGAAATAATAACATATCCAAAGCTCGGCCTTCTCAATAGATTTCCCTCATTACACCACTGTTTGTTTACATCTGTGAAAAACATGTGGGAAAAATCCTGTAATTTTTTTAAAAAGTAAAGTTACATTTACTTGAGTTTACTCTTGCCAAACGACCACTAACAATAGACATTTCCATATTGTAAGCTTTCCATTTGATCTTTACTGTATTTTATGATACCTATCTTGAAATATTAAATGATTGTAAAGGAAATACTAATTTTTCAGAAGTAGTTTTGTTTTGAGAATTTCAGGGGAATGAAAGATGGAGAGGAGATGGAAGTGTTAGTGGTTAAGGGCGAATGTCACTGAGTGGCGAATGTTTGCAAAGTGGTTGTGAAAGACATTTGCTATTTATTAGTGACTGTAAGCAAGTGTTAACAACAATTGTTGCAAAGAATAGCAAGAAATAGCAAGATGATGACAATGGTGATAGTGGTGATGAAGATGATGGTGTTCGTGTAGACGATGATGATAATGGAGATGGAGATGATAATGGAAGTGGATATGATGATGCAGATAATGATGGTGATGAAGATGGTAGCTAGGGTGATGGTGATGATGATGAAAATGATGATGATGGAGATGGAAAGATGAGATAATGGAGACGTGGTTGCTAGCAATAGCGAATCAAAACAATTGCGACATTAAAAACTCTTTGCAAAGTATATATTCTTCATCCACATCGTTGTGTCTAATGGTCGGTAAAGGCAAAGTGGATTGAAGTTATAAGACACTTGCAGAGGGGGAAAGGACGGTGGGAGGAAGGTATAGAGGAAAAATTTAGATTATAGATAATACAGTGGTGATCATGATGATGATTGCTACAAGCCCCGCTACAAGCATAGATAATAGAAAACTTCTATAGTTACTATTATTATATACCTTTTAAAAGATGCACAATAAAAATCCAATCAAGATTCACCAACATATCCAAGAATGATTTTCCAGACAATTTCGTCAGCAAATATCCTTTCTTTCCTACTCTCATTTTACCTTCTTAGTAATTTCTTGCATCAGTTTCTGCTTCTCCTCTCTACCATTTTTTGTATTATTAGAGACTAAATGCAACCTATTTCTACTTTTGAATATGTTTCTCTTTTCTGTTTACGCAGAAATTTAAATGCTCCATTATGTTTGACTATCAGACTATGATCTCTTTATACAACAGTGGAAATAAAACGCTGGCAGTACGAAATAGATACACAAATTAATGTTTCCTTTGTGGAGTCTTCGAAATGTTGCATTGGCATAATAGGCGACATGATGCCCATTCATTACTGTGTAGGGGATACAGAATGACTGAGTGGAGACCGATCACTGGCTCATTTGCATATAACTGTTATTAAGTGACTGTGTACTGTGAAGGGCACTGGAACACCAAGAGGGAGAGGGACTTACTGTAATTGGATTAAGCTCCTGGGCTTAGGATTATAGGACTTAATCCTTCAGGCCAGAATGCAAAAGTGATGTCTATTTTCACTAAGGGGATGTTTTCGTCATGAATTGCATTATAATTGTAGTTCAATTCTACTTACTCAAGAAATTCATTCATGAGGTTCACAACGTCCTGCTCTTCCTTAACTTGTCGAAATCTGTTCCTAATTTCTTCAGTTAATTGCTCTCTAAACACCATATATCCTGTCGTGCTGGCTACATTTACAATCCTAGATGACAAAAAAAGAGTAATGGTCGAATTTGTTATGTTTACAATATAAAACACTAGCGTAACTTACGAAGGGGTAAAGGGACAATTTCCTCTCCCGACATATTTTCGACGAAGATAAAGATATTCACTCTAACCAGTACCAAGGACGTATATAAGGAATCACTGTAAATGTGAATATATTATGGGCGATGCCCCCCTCCCTATAAAGGGAGGTAGTGAATTTAATTGAATGCGAAAATATAATTTTGTTACTAAAATGAAAAGAATCCAAAATGACACTTAACACTAGCAGAGATCATTTATTTAATTGTTAGTCATAGTCACTTACATTAATTATTTAAAAAAACCTTTACCAAACCCGAATACAAAATAATGTTTAGAAGTAAAAACTTAATTTCTACCTTGTTTTGCCAATGTGTTTGTGACTCCAATCATATACTTCAAATGAATTCCATCACGACATACTCACCATCAAACTGGACATCGCCATTACATCATACACGACCTTTTAGCTATTATCGTATACACTCTAAGAAAAAAGGGGTGCAAAATTCGGAGTTTGCACCCTTTACATAAAAATGAACCCTATTGATGGAAAAGGGGTTAAAAAAAGGGTCAGATTTTGCACCCTTCCCACAAAAATGACCCCTGTCGACCCAAAAAGGGTCCAAAATAAAAGTTTGCATATTGCATGCATATTCATGATTACTTTACACGTGTTCACATAAAAACACATTTATCATGATTTGTTAAGCAAATTATGACAATGCACATCAATTTTGTGATTTGTATTTTCTTTCGGCAATCATTAACCAGTAGATTATTTTGTTTGATCATGTTACAATAACATTCACGTTTTAGCAATAGATATATTGATTATAAATCATTATATGATTACTAACCAAGACACAACGTGCATGTTTAATATGTATTTGTGTAAGAACATATTTAATGAGTATTCCTCGAGTATGTGTGCAGGATTGCACCTTATAAAGGGTGCAGGATTGGACCCCTAAAGGTGCTGTTATTGCATCGGTTTGCACCCCTAATGAAGCAGGATTGAACCATTAAGGGTACTAACATGTCTCCGAAAAGGTGCAAGCTGGCACCCTCTAGGCTCTTAAAGGGTGCAGGATTGAACCCATAAAGGTGCTGCTAGTGTTGAATCGGTTTGCACCCCTAAAGGTGCAAGATTGAACCATAATGAGTACTAACATATCCCCTAAAAGGTTCAATGCAGGATTGCACCTTTAAAAAGGGTGCAGGATTTAACCCCTTAAGGTGCTGCTAGTGTTGCATCGGTTTGCACCCCTAAAGGTGCAAACTTGCACCATTTTTTCTTAGTGTGTATGGTGTAAACATATTTAAGTCGTTTGTCGTATTGTTGTGTCATTTTGTCGTTTGTCGTGTTTGGTAGGAGAGGCTTTGAGACAGATGAAAAGTTTGAATTCTCTAATTTTAAGTATAAAAGCAAAATGTATCTACCCTGTCTGTTTTACATGTATTAGGACAAACATTTTGCATGAAAAACATACCTTCCACCTGACCTCACCAGAGGAGTGAGACTCCGGCAGACGGATAGAAGTCCAAAGAAATTTGCTTCCATGACGCGGAATTGCTTCTCATAAAACGAACTGTTGTCTTTCTGTAAAACAAAGTTTGTGAAAATGATTAAAGAAAGCAGTGGCGTATCCAGCAGAACAGTTCAACCGAAGTACCTCTCTCCATCTAGTCATGAAAAGGAATGCAATACTGCTAGTACCAGGTCAAGGGTACGTGAGACTCAAGCCGGGTAGTACTGAGCCAAATTAGCATTATATAAAGTTACCTAATTCTAGAAATGTACATGCATATATTTTGTCATTAATAGATCAGTTCACTAACGGTTATTTTTTTCGGTTACGCATGGCTCTACTGACATGTTACTTTAATGATGCTCATTAACTCTTCCCTTTTTTCAAAGGCTTGCAATTAAGACATAGCAACAATCATTGTTTGCGACCTGCCTTTTGCCTTTTAAAAGTCGAAATACAAAGATGACTGGCCTCGAGGTCATGAATATCATAATCATCCCTGTCATTTGAGTACCATAATTGTAACATTTCCACTAATTCCCGTTATCCATTTTATTAAAAAATGCAAACCTACCGATGTACCAATACCAGCATTGTTGACTAGAACATCAATTCCACCATGTTCCTTTTCCAGATGATTCCGAATCGTATCAATGCTTGCTTGATCAGTGACGTCAAGAAGATGAAACTTGGGATCGAGTCCCTCTTTCTGGAGGAGCTCAACAGCGGCTCGACCACGCCCTTCATTGCGTGCAGTCAAGTAAACCACGCCATCTTGTCCAAAATGGCGGCATAGAGCTCGAACGATCTCCAGACCAATACCCTTGTTTGCGCCTGTCACCTACAACGGAAGAAAATAACGATGACATTGCTTACTGTTTAGCCGACATTGTCAAAGTGCAAAATGAATAGAAAAACCTCAGATTTACAAATTAGCCAAGTAACCCGGATTTTAAATAAAAGAATTCTTAAATTTTGAATGTTCAAAAGGAACTCCTTATTCTATTTGTTTCCCGGCAGAAGACAGTTTTGAGCCCTCTGTATCAACGCCCCTATAGCATCTGTTAGGATACTGCTTCCAATTGTATTAATAGAACGAATACAAAATAACCTGTTGAGAAATTTGAGAAATAAAACTCTCACTCTCTCTCTCTCTCTCTCTCAGTTAAGTCAAACTAGGCACCGATAAGAAGTAATATGTTGTTAAGGTTTTCACAGAATTACGCCCACTTTTATTAATCAACATGATTTATTTTTCATCAAAAGAAAATTATGTTGAAAACGTGATAAACTACTGCATGATAATAGTACTTAGATACCGAGTCATTACAGAAAAAGACTAAGCGAGAAATATTAGTTGCCGGAAATGCCGGAAATGCCAGCAAGTGGGGGGCTTTTTAGCTACCTGCATAATAGTCAAGAAAATGTCAATAAAATGATCTATCATTTTCCTGTTAGTGAAAACTATCCTTTTCCCCTAATGCCTGTACATTATATGCCAAGTTAATAGCTCTGATCGAGGCGAACTATATTCTTCGGTAAGGTTCATCCCTCCTTCGAGTTATTGTTTATGTTTACCATTATTAGTACTACACTCTCATGAATATCATTTAGCAAAAGCGTTCCAGTTAATATATTTGTAAAGCGCTTAGAGACATCGTTGTTAGAGGTATTGTTGTTTATGCTGTTATCATAAAAATTACTAATACTGATATTACTATTTGGCTCTTTTAATAATGATAAATCTTTTTTGTTTTTAATTATTCAAAGGAGTTAGCACAATAACAGAATAATCTACACTTTAGTACCCGACCAGGCAGGCTGGGAAATAAAAGGTCAAAGCCAAACATTGCCCATGCACAGGCCTTCCCCCCCCCCCCCCCCAACTGCTCGAGTGCTCATTAATACGTTAAAACATATACCAACTTATACATACTTATCATATGATACAATCCTCGAGAAACTATAGACAGCAAAGGTGAAGAGAGAGAGTAGAATAGGGAGGCTGCAAGAAAAATCACACGATTCGGATAATAACTGAGACGCCGTTGCACATATGGTTTTGATTGTAAGTTGTATACACTACAACTAATCATATACCGAGTTATTGTGTGTAGTGGTACGATAGTACTACTAGCAGTAGGTTACGTGAGGTATAATGCAGTATAACCAGGGTATGTGAGTTTAAAACACCTCCCTGGTATAACGATTCATAATATTTACACTAAAACACGTATCATTATAATCACGATACTTACCACTGCCACTCGTACCGACATGTTGTCTCGTGTAGCAATCGCTCCTACAGCATTAGACATCAATCAAATGGTTAAACAAGGGGGAGTTGGAATGGACTGGTTAAACGGTGTTATGTATATCACTGGGTATATACTACAGCTGTACATGCATGAGCAGTCTACACGTGCTTTCAACGTACCATTGACATGTCATGAACTATATATCCAGATCAATGGCATTGCAATGTTTGTCAAGTCTGACGTACTGTAGTCTCGACAAAAGGCTTCGCTCGCAAAGTAAATACATACATACATGCGATCCATATCAGCTAAACATTATGTGCATATACATATATGTTTATATCTGATATATATATACACATGTGTATATTTTACTAAAGGGGTCATAAGACGGACATTTGGAATGAAAAGGGGAATCATTAAGTAGACATTAATAAGGAGGACAATTTCGTGTCCTCTTAAAGTTTTCATACTTATATATAAATCTCTCTCTCTCTCTCTAAATATATATTTATTACGTCATAAGACGGACATTTGGAGCGAAAAAGTGAGTCATTAAGTAGACATTGTCATTAGGAGGACAGTAATTCTACAGACCAGTTTTATAGGGTTATGGTTTAGGGTTAGGGTTAGGACTTGATCTGGATAGAGTCCCGGCCCCCCACTCAGTGTTATTTAGCGTACGCATATGCTGGTACCCTCTTTTTGAAAGCACCCCCTATCTGAGGACTGCCAACATTTCCGAACCCCCCTTTCGCGGGCTTTTCGCGGGCTTTTCCTGCCTTGGAGACCCCCCTAAATCAGGAAAAATGCTCAATTTTCCCCCCATTAATTCGGGGGTAAGTAAAACAAATTCCTGATGATAAATTGTACATGACGCTTTTAAAGTGATTTTTTCCAGTTCGGAAACAAAAGCACTTGAACAATTAGTGTCTTTAATTTCGTTTGCTTTATTCATATCCAATTCAATTCAATGCAAATCTATTTTATACTTAGAGGGAAATCCAAGCTTATTAGCAAACTACTCTACAGAAGAAAGGACAAAAATCACAAAAGCATACTGGAGAAAGTTTAAATGAAATCGGAAAAAATGAGAAAGTGGTGATTTTTTTTTTTAAGAATTTGCAACCACTATATGTATGGGCCCTTCAAACCGGCTGTCTCTGTGATGTAGTAGTGGGCCATTTGTTTATATTTGTTCCAACACACAAAGTGACTTAAATTTCAATTTAAACAAAGACTGTATGACTCGGGATGGTCTTTACTTATGAGAGGACCTGTACTAATATACTCTTCAAAATATATTTTGAGTAGTGCCCCAAGGGTGAAGGCACTAGGGAGTAGAAAATAAAATAGTGATATTGTTTGTACACGACAAACGGGAGAGTAATCCATAACTACATCACAATCGACTGGCAAAATTTGGTAAAAAGTGGGTAAAACAACTATAATCACATGTGTTACGAATTGTAAAGTACAAACATTATATTTTTTGTACATTTATTACAAGAGTAAATATATATCATGTATATAGACTCATATTATCACAAATCATTAATCAACGATAGCTTAATTGTATAAACATACATTCATGGATCATGTTAAGCTTCATGGAGACGTCCAACAAAAAGTGGCATCAACTCCGGGGAGACAAAAATATCTAATAAGCAATTTTCCATGTTTTATACATCGTTAATACAGTATAACAGCAAGAATGACAGTAAAAAGGAATGTCACGTCGTTGTCAAAATTCACATTTTAAAGATTGGATTTTCAGAGCAGTTCGTTTTTAAGTGGTGTTGGAAATGCTTTGAATGGTGATGAATTTGTAAAGATAAAATTTCGAAATTTTACCCTGCAACCATTGTAGTTTACATAACGATGTGGTGTTACTCAGGGAAATTGACTTGGTCCAATTTTATTTATACATTATCAAAACGACAACTTTTAATCATAAAACATATCTGTTTATACTTTATGACAAAGGCACTGTGACCTTCCTGTTATCAAATAAGGACTTATATACAGCTTTATCTATACATCTAGCGATTTCTAAATGTATCTATTTATTTATTTATCTATTCATCCATTATTTTACATGTTACATTTCTCTGTGTCATCTTTCCCTGTATTTTCCGCAAGCGTCCTCTTGAGGTGTAAGAAAGCTTGAAGCGCCCGTCTGCCTTGCTGAAATTTAGAAAGAAAAATAAGGGAAAACCGTCTACTATCACAGCTTACCAAAAAAATCACACTATGAGTCATTTTAACATGATTAGAGGAACAAGGATGTCCCCACACTCCATCATTAGGCCGTATATTTGGCGAGAAAAACAACTTTTTAAAAATAAGAGGGGAACACATTATTTATCCATTTTAGGGGCCTTTGTGCTCTAAAATTTTATGACAAACAAGAAAAAAATGATCATCGTGTTAACACATTATTTTGGTTACTATTTACCATAAATTTCTCCGGAATACCAACACCATACAGTACCAACAAAACAAATAAAAAAAAGAAACTCAATTCGTGAGTATCCAGCATTAATTGGACACATACGTCCATTTTGCTTTGTGAAAGACTAAAAATCGGGGGATGGCATTTAAAACTGTGTCGAACTTCAGGAGTTTCCACCAGGGACTGATAGCTAGGAAAGCATACCTCAACAAGAAATTCCCAGTCTTCCGGGTCACCGTCAAAATCCAGACACTTCATGTAGACGGTGTTGATCAAGACTGTTCGTTCATTGTCATCACTCTAAGATTCAAAATTATAAACAAATCCATGTAAATATCATTGTACATGCACGAAACACAAATATCATCAATAATAAACAAACTGTCACATTTGCCATCTTTTTAAAGTCAATGTCATTTTATCATCAACACAATCATCAAATTCAAATTAAAATTAAAATTAAAATTCACATTTATTCGGCAAAAGATAAAAACATCAAAATGAAATCATTACAAATGAAATCATTATAAATAAATACCGGGATTGCTAAAATAAGTTAAAAACTTGTAAACAAGCAACCCCAAACATAAAAACATACAGATACTATACAATACAATAAGATGAAATACGATACAATACAATACAATACAATACGATAATAATAATGTTACATGCTAACAAAATATATGAATGAATTATGTATTTCAATAAATCAATAAGTGGCAAGTATTGTTCTTTTCAGTTTAAGTTTAAATGCGTTCTGGTTCTTAATACCCTTTAAATAACTTGACATGGAGTTCCATTTGTGAGGACCTTGATATCTAATTGATTTATTTTGCAAAAATGAGTTAGTGAATTTTGGTAGATGAAAGTCTTTTTTTTTCTTGTATTAAATGAGTGGACATCCGAGTTCAAATGAAAACTGTCATAAAACGTTACTGGTAGCAAATTATTTTGGAGTTTGTACATAAATAATAAAGTCCGTTGAGAAAGAATATCTGGAAGTTTGAATAAATTTAAGGATTTAAATAATGAAGAGGTGTGCGCCCTGAAGGAAGCATTGCTGCACAACCGAACAGCCCGCTTTTGAAGTATGATAAGGGGCTTTAATAAATTATTAGACGTTCTCGCCCAAACTAAATTACAGTACGTTAAGTAAGGATATATGAGAGTGTAGTTAAGAGAAAGCATGGTAGAGGATGGTAGAAAACTTTTGAGCTTATTCATTACACCGACTTGGGACCGAATCTTCCTGGAAATTAATTCAATGTGTTTTGCCCATATAAGTTTGTTGTCAATGGCAACTCCTAAAAAATTGGCAAATTGTACCTGGTCAATACAGTTACCATCTATTGTCAGATTAACATTTTCAATTAAAGTATCATTTTTTTTACCAAAGTTAAATATCATGAACTTTGTTTTGGTCTGATTAATTTTTAGTTTATTTGATGAAAACCAGCTAGCAACCTTTCATCAAGTTCATCAAGTTCCTTTTGAAGTTCATCATCAACATCATCACTATCACCCAATGCCACCATCACTAACACTACCACTACCACTACCACTACCACCACCATCACCATCACCACAACGACACCACACCCCTACCCCCACGCCTCGAGGAGGCACAGTTGTCATGGGGGACACTGGCTTTTCTAAATGGATAAAGTGTATCATCTTCTTGCCACATTAATTACCTTCACCCTCCCTCCCTCCAAAATTCTCTCTCTATCTCTCTCTCTCTCTCTCTCTTTTTCTCATTTTTAGCCAGCCGATTTAGCCCCCCCCCCCCCTTTTTTTTTCTTTCCTTCTTCTCTCTCTCCCTCTCTCTCTCTCTCTCTCTCTCAGCGCTACACCACTGCTACAAACATCTAGGAATGATCTCTTGACGTCCATAACAAGCGACTTGAAAGACTTGTGATGAGATCCGTTGGGTTCTTAATGTCTACCCCCCCCCTCTCTCTCTCTCTCTCTCTCTCTTTCAATTTAATATCTTTTATTTCAATCTCATGGCCACTGGGGTCCCTCCCTTCGCTGCGTCTACTAACATGACTAACCTCTAAGAACGATCTCTTGACATTCATCACGAGCGACTGGAAAAGACTTGTGATGAGATCCGTTGGATTCTTAATGTCCGTCCGCCCAGCCCCGATGAGATGGGTCTGAATTCCCACCCCATTCCACTCGGCCAGGTTCATCAACTCGTGATAGTCCAACTGCACGGAGCAAGGCAAATAGATATCGCATGATACCTATAGAGTGGTGAAGTGTGACGTCATCAAAAATCTATTTTTAGAATTTCTCAATTTTGTCTTCATTTTCCGAAAGAGCATAATAGTTAGGAGCCAGAGCATATAGCACTGAGTTCCTATTGAGAATATATTAATTCAGATGGTCAAATATCCGCCAATAGTTAACATATTCAATTGGTTTCGACATTTTTGGTGCTCTTTCGGAAAATGTAGAAAAATTGAAAAATTCTAAAAATAGATTTATATGACGTCACAGCTACCTCTGTAGAGCAATCATCCCCGTACATCCAGGGCAAGTGATCGTAGGACAATTTGGGATTCGATCCTTACGCTGACAGTTCGTCAACTCCGTACTCCTCCATACAAAATGTATAACCCCTTTAATATAGGACAATTACAACCCCCGGCCCTCCCCCACCCCCGGCCCGAACTATAACTCTCCTGTGTTACTACCCTATTCACTTCTTGTTGTGGTAAGTCAGTCTTCTTCTTTTCTTCTTCTTCTCTTTTTTCTATTTTTCTTGTTCTTGTTCTTTTTCCTGTTCTTGTTCATCATCTTTTTTCTTCTTCTTCTTCTTCTTCATCTTCTTCTTCTTCTTTCTTCTTCTTCTTCTTCTTCTTCTTCTTCTTCGTCTTCTTCTTCTTCTTCTTCACCTCGTTTCTATTTTTCTTGTTCTTGTTCTTGTTCTTTTTTGTCATTGTTGTTGTTGTTCTTGTCCTTGTTCTTTTTGTGGTATATTCTTCTTCTTCTTTTTTTTTTCTTCTTCTTCCTTTTTCCTCTTCCTCTGTTCTTGTTCAACTCTATCAACACCTTGTGACTTCTGAGGTCTCACTTACCCTGCCGTCCTTATTGATATCCAGAAGTTCAAACATTTCTGTGGCAGACATCAAACGATCACCGAACAGCGCCCTCGCATGGTACGATGTAAACTCGTTGGTCTGAAAGTAGAGAAGGTGAAGAAAACAGAAATAGGTGAAACTCAACATCTGTGGCCCGTTGCATAAAACTTACCATTGATGGTAACTACCATGGAAACCTTAATTTTGATTGGCTGTTGAGCCCTGTTACTATGATAGTTGCCATTGATGGTAAGTTTTATGCAATAGGGCCCGGGAATCTAGTATTATTTTTCCTCATGTCTTACAGGTTCTCTCTCTCTCTCTCTCTCTCTCTCTTTCTCTTTCTCTCTCTTTACTCCATAACCCCATCTTTGTCCGCTTTTCCCACTTTTCTATTTTTGATTATTATGTTCTTGGGTAAGGTCTTCTTCTCAACATTAGTAACAGAAAAAAGGAAACTAAAACTATACCAATTATTTTGCCACATTTATTTGTAACATCTTACCTGAGCACAAGCTCGTCTAAACTCGCCGATGTCGATATTATCGTTTCCATCTAGGTTATTATCGTTGAGAACTTTAACAAAACGAGTCATGGCGTCCGTTTTAATTCGATGCTTCCTCAGTTCCATCTCATGTTGCTTCATGAATGTTTGATGTGCTCTGAGCAAATGGAAGCAACGAAAGATAAATGAATATCAAGATGACAGCATCGCTGTATAAAGGGCGGGCCACCTTTATGTTGCTATTTAAATTGTTTCTTTATTATTTGTATTGCTGCCGGTAAATCTTTGAAAGTTTTTACCGACAACCCACCCGTCCCCTTTCCCCAATTCAAAGTGTTCTGTGTACCAACAAAAACGTCTACATGTACTTTAGGGCCATTGACCAATCGGCCTATTTATATAATAAAACATGGGAAAATGGTTCTTGGAATAGTACCAGATGTCCATTACAATATATGAAAATTAAAGCTTGACGATGAATGTCTTTTCAACCAAATAAAAAAGAATACAGTTCGTAAGATAAACTCCTCATATTATTAAACTGTTATATTGTCAAAGTTTCACTAAACTGCGCCAGTGAGTGAATTTACAACTTATTAATGAAATCTTGCAAAAAGTATTAATGTAAAAAAGATCAGGGCCCCATCTTATAAAGAGTTGACTTACTTGCAACTTATATCGCAACTGTGTATATAAGAGATAGGAGACTGCAACTTGCAAATGATTTGAGGACTTGCGATTGATTGGATCAATCGTAACTCTTTAATAAGACGGGGCCATGGAGGTGTTTCACAAAATTCCAAAGTCGATCTTAACTGTTAGTTAAATTGAAGCATTTTGGAGAGCCATTTGTAGCCTTAAAATTAAATATATTAAAAAACAAAATTATTTTAGGTCTTTCATAAATTCCACATCAAGAACATTAAAGATAAGTTGGACTTTACAATTATGGAAACGGCCGTTAGCATCTATGAAAATATTTTCTAAAATTTATTTTCAAAGGCATAAAATGTTTATTCCAACCATTCATATTTTCTATTAATATCATGTAGATTTCATGTTCTTGATGTGGAATTTATAAAAAGTCTAAAATACTTGAATTTTCGCTTTTGAATATATTCAATTTTAACAATACAAATGGCTCTCCATAATGTTTAAGTCCAACTTAGAGTTAAGTTCGACTTAGGATCTTTGTAAAACACCCCATGACTATTATATGAGTATAGCCTGTTACCTTGCTAGTCGAGTGTTTGGTATCGGAGAAGGAGATGGAAGCAGAGCTGGGTTTGTCGCCAGGACGTGCTGGTCGTGATCGCTGAACTATAAATAATAAAACGAAGATTCTTTTATCTTAAACTTTTCTCATCCTAGACGCACATTCTAAGAATTGTGAAAAACGATTGAATACCTCTTAAATTCTATTCAATTCAATTTTATTCGTCCAAGTTAATTAAAAAGAAATTGTACAGGTTTTTTTTTTACAAGCATTATCAACACTTGTAAAAAAAAACATGTAAAGATTCCATTTGTTTAACTTGAACGAATACAATTGAATTTAATTAAATTTAAGTGGAATTCATAAATCATAAATGGGGGATACATATGCTTCTCCCGAGTCAAGTAATAGTGGCGTGCGATTGATTACTGTAGAGCCTAATGCACAATCAGAAAAAATTGCTCTGCCATACATTGCCATCGTTTGAAAGATATAAATCAACTTCCTGCCAGTGCATACATCAGATACAAGAGCTTATATCGTGTAGAAAAATACGGTGGATATAGTTAAGCACCCTCAATTATTCTCATTAATAGATATGAAATAGAGTTTCCTATACACCAGCTAATCACACCCACGCACACACATTTTTAAAAATAAGAAATGTTGACCTATAAATAGTCTTCAGGGTCCCATCGGGAAACCGACTCCACACCTACTCCAAATGGACTCCAAATTGACTGGGGGTGGCCATCGTGGTAATATAATCATTTAATCATCATAACGTAATCATTATAATCACACAATCATCAACATCCCAGTCACCAGTTAGACAGCATACTGAACAAATGATCTGACTATCTTTGATGATTGTGTTGATGATAAAATGACATTGACTTTAAAAACATGGCGAATTTGAGAGTTTGTTTATTATTACGTGACTGAGGTATTGATTTTAAAAACCCATTTTATATCAGAATAAAGATTTGCTTTATTTTGTTCTTTCTTTGATTTTGCTTTATCTAAGATATCGATTTGAATAATATGCATAAATTCAATTAACGACAGCAAACAAACAGACGAAATAAAATAAGAAAGTTTAACGAAACGAGTCTAAAAGAAGTGGCATATTGACTGACCAGAATAAAACCAAGGGTCTTTTCGTTGAAGGTTCCAAATCGGACTTTCTTGGTGAGGAGTTTACCAACGTCGTTCAAAGGTTGTAACCTTCGCAGAAAACTATCCTCTGGTTTCATGGACAACCACCATCCTGGTGACAGAATAGGAACAATAAAATATGATGGTATAGTAAAACATATTTAACAAATAACAATAATAATGATTACAAATATATATTGTGCGGTCGCTTGCATGGGCAGCGACTCCCTCAAGAACCCAATGCACTCGGCTTTGTTAAAGGGTGATAAGCTGGTCTTGTTTACCCAGAGTAACTACATCAGTATCAATACTGCTCTTCCAGCAGGCCCTGCAATGATTATTACCCTGGGTGGGGAGTGTCAAATGTGGAATGATATCTTAACATATGAAGTAAATGCCGGGTAGGGATTCGAATCCTAACCCTAAAGTGGAGAGTCAACTACTTTACCATGACAGTTAAATAATTGTAGGGCCGTTGTAGTGTTGGCTGAACTTATTTTACTGGCATGAAAACCCAATGGTTATTTTGCTTGTGTTCACTTTCCCCTCCCTGGCACTGATCAAAATAAAGATGATGATGAGGATGGATTTGATTATGATGAAGGTGATGATGGTGGTTGTGGTGGTACTAATGATAAGAATAATCGTGATAATATCAATAATAATGATAATAAGAAGAACAAGAAAAAAAAGAACAAGAAGAACACGAACAAGAACAAGAACAAGAAGAACGTGAAGAAGAAGAACAACAAGCACAATAAAAGAAGAATAACAACAACAAGAACAAGAGGAGGAACAAGAAAAGAAGAACGTGAAGAAGAAGAACAACAACAACAACAACCACAATAAAAGAAGAATAACAACAACAAGAACAACAAGAACAATAGGAAGAACAAGAACGAGAACAAGAACAAGAACAAGAAAAAAGGAAGAACAAGAAGGACAAGAAGAAGAAGACTGACTTACCATCAAAGCAGTGAACAGGGTAGTTACACAGCACACCTCCATCAACATACACGTCTGTACGATCAATGTACCTCCACTGGAATGGGAAGAATACACCTGTTTGGAGGAGGTGGAAGAAATGGAAGAAGGTGACCAGGTATCACCTATGAAAACTGTAACTGCTCCTTTTAGGGTTGACAAAATTGAAAAATGGGTGAACTATGAAAGACTGAAACATTGTATGATATTTCCACACATGTCAACACATTTCGAATTAAAAGTACAACAAATTCCCGAAGCTTGTCAGCATGATTACCATGATTACAGCCCTGAATTTAGACCTCTTGATATAACTGATTCTTGTTCTTCTTTCTGTTTCATACTCATGATATTATGTGCAATAGGGGTAAGTCTGATTTCGAAATCAATCAAGCTAGAAAAGGGTGTGTCTCATCAAATTTGTCGTCAAAGTCAGTTATGTTTTAAGTCACTGCCTAACAGGACAAGTAAATAAATGATAAAAAGAGAATTTTCTCTAAGCCTTAGTAGTCATCCTACTCACATACGACCCCTCCCACACACACACAAACACACACACACCCATATATATATATATATATATATATACTCGTAAATTTGTAATTGCCTACCTCCCCCTTTCTCCCCCCCCCCCCCCCAATCTCCCTCTTTCCTTCTATGCATTTACTTTAATTTATTCCAACTCCACCTCCACCATCTTTCCTGTGTTCTAGTTCACCTGGTATGGCCATGGACATCCTCACCGCGGCTCTAATCGGCAAGAGGGGCGTGGTCTTCACGTGACAATACTCCTCCATCTTCAAGCTCAGATTGGTGACCACCACACAGAGTTCCTTGCCCGTAACCTCATAGAGATCTCGAAATGTAGCATCCGGGTTACCCAGCTTCTCTTCCACCACCTCACCCATCCAGTGATAGAAAGATCTACCAGGATGCCATCCAAGGTGACGTAAGAAGTTGGGCACCATGCTGCAAGGGCCACATCTAGCATCTTCAAAAAAATCAAGTGGTTACAATTTTGTTATTACAATTATGTAAATCATATTTTATTCTTATTCCCTAATTTTTACTTTCTCTTCCTCCTTCTCCTGCAAGTCTGCCTTCTATTCCTCCTCAAAAGTATGTTTTTCCCTTCTTCGCCCTCTTCTCATTCTTAGTCATCATCTTCTTTTTCTCCTTCTCTTTCTTCTCCATCTTCTTCATGTTATTGATGTGATCAAGAATTGTTTTCTTCTTTTCTACCTTGTCGTTTCTTCTCTGTCCGTCATCTTTTTTATTCATTCGACCTCTTATTCTTCTTTAATCGTGTTTTGTTTTGTTAGATTATGTTTTCTTCTTCACCATCTTCTTCATAATTATGCTTTTTCTTCTTAATTCATTTTGAATTTATACTTTCATTTTCTTTTTTCTTTCTTATGTATCGAATGGGGTAAAAGGCACAAACCCATTATCAAACTAGATAATATTTGAAATAGATCTCGGTCACTATTTTGAGAGTTCTATAATGTATTCTTTGTAAATGAAAAATTGTATGCATTTATAACAACGTTTCATAGGGCCAGTGGACATGACAATAACGATTACAATACTTATTTCGTTTCCAAAGACTTTGATCTTTAAAGCTGATTATTCAAAATTGCGAGTAAAATTTCAATTCAATTTTCAATTTCAATTTATTCATGTTTCCAACAAAACATTACAATTCAATTATAAGCATTTAAAATAAATGTAATAAATACATGTTGGAAACAGAGGGGTCCACTAAAAAGCAATGCTTGTACAGGTGTGAACACCTCAAATGATACTAAAGAATAATGAGTAATTACATTAACTAATCCGTAACTACAAAAGGAACTACAAAATAGGGGAAAGAAAAAAGGGGATGCCAAAAGAGACGAGAAAGGGACAAGACAATGCTTTACACGACAAAGATAGAAGAACACGTCGTAATGCCTGTGTGATTTCTCCAGCTAAGCATAAGTAATATTGATTGTATTGTTTATATTGCTAACAATTTTATTTTCAGATGTTACTCAACTATCCCACCCCGCCTCCTTTTCTCATACTCACTAGCATCTGATCGTTGTTATAATAAATGTGTACGGATGGAATAATATTATCTAAGAAAACTTAAGAAAAAAGGAAATATGCTCTGATTGGTAGAGTAGTGGTCTCGTAACCGGTAGGTCCCGGGTTCGAAAACATGACAATGTACTAGTGCTCTTTGGTAAGGCACTAATTCTCATCACCAAGTCGCTCGGAGATGATTTAAAGCCGTCAGTCGCTTGGTTGTTTACTTACAAGCATAATGCTTTATTAGCAGTCAGGTACAATAATTATCATCATCAAACATCAAACCAAAGTAAGAAACAGGGGGGGATCATTCACCTAGTGCATCGTTAAAGAAAGGTCCATTTTTCATGACATCAAGGAACTTTTCCGAAGTGTGTCCTACGGCTAGCAAGGCAGCAGTGATGGAACCCACGCTAGCACCTCCAAAACGACGTAACTTCTCAAGGTGCCCAAGACGTTCCAGCTCCTTCAAGAAGAAAAAAGAGAAAAGAGATTGACAATAAAAGAAGAACATGGAAAGGAGCTTTAAAAATGTTATTAAAAAAAGATAATATATTAGATCTGAAAATCGTATAAACGATTAAACTAAGTATGTTGAATATATTATGTTAAATTGATGATAAAGGTGTGGTAACGTCTCAAGCCCTATAGGCTCATATTATATTGTGATGTATTATGTATATTGTATTATGATTGTAACTGCCTTCTAAATATCTACTGCTATTGTTATTGTTTAATCTCACGTTGATCATACCATGTAGTGTGATGAACCATGCAGAAATGAATAAATAAATAATTGAATAAAATGAACAATTTAAGGAACGAAACTGCAGAGGGGAAAGAGCTGGAAAGGTGCGAGTGTGAGTGAGAGGGAATGAAAGGAGACATAACAGGCTGACAAAAGAGAGGTGGGTAGACAAAGAGAGGGGTTAACAGACAAAGAGAGAGAGAGAGAGAGAGGGGGGGGAAAGAAAGAAAGGGGGAGTGGGAAATGGGCAGAGAGAGACTGGAAGAGAGAGAGAGGGGGAGAGAGAGAGCGGGGGAGAGAAAGAGGAGAGGGAAGGAGGGCAAAGAGAGAGAAAAATAATGAGGGAGAGGAAGAGGAAGGGGGGAGACATGACTCATGTTTAGCTCAAGTAGCCATGACTGTATACGTTGACGGAGACTCTCATGTTTCTGTTTGAAGACATATTTTGCAACATGCTGCCAACTTTGCCACCGTGATACAGGTACCCTGCCTTTGAACGAACCGATGATACCCTGTGAATTAATCGGCCAAAGTGTGATGGATCACTTTCGCCAAAAGTAAAAGGTTGCATAATATCAGATTTCACTGTTCTTTGCAAACACATGACATTCGCCTTGCACTTTTTATGTGTTTTGGTGTGCTTATTCTATGTTATCCAAAACAAATGTAACTACAAAAATGTCTTAAACGATAATGCGATATCTTATAATGTATGTTGAAAGTAAGGAAGACGACAACGAAAAATCAGGAACAAGTATTCAATCATTGGTATGTATACACGATGACGTATCATGTGCCAAACAATATCGGTTTTGTTTGTCAATGATTTAATTTGAAATCGTTGAATTGATCGTTTTCGCTCTGTTGAAAGCATCAACATGATGAAATAATATCCTAAGTAGGCTACAATCCGTTAAGACGAAGTATGTAGTCTTTATAATTGAGAAGCATGGTGCAAAGAAAATCAGCAAAGTCTGAATATATATACAATGATCACATTTGCTCCGAACACGATAGTAACTGCTTTTAAAACAAATCAACTTAACGCAATGTCAATATTTAATTTTCTGTTAATCGTTAGTCATATATTATATGGTCTGGTCAAATATCTATTTTCTTCGTGTTTATATCAATGGGTTATGGGTATACACACTAAGAAAAATGGTGCAACTATGCACCTTTAGGGGTTCAAACCGATGCAACAATAGCAGCACCTTTAGGGGTTAAATCCTGCACCCTTTTTAAAGGTGCAATCCTGCACCCTTCAAAAGGGTGCCAGATCGAACCTTTTAGGGGAAATGTTAGTACCCTTTATGGTTCAATCCTGCACCTTTAGGGGTGCAAACCGATGCAACAATAGCAGCACCTTTAGGGGTTAAATCCTGCACCCTTTAGGAGGGTGCCAGAATGCACCCATCATCGAGGAATACTCGTGACATTTGCTCGTACACATATACATATTAAACATGCATGATGTTTCTTGGTTAGTAATCATATAATCAATATATATATTGCTAAAACGTGAATGTAATTGTAACATGATCAGACAAAATAATCTATTGGTTAATGATTGCCGAAGGAAAATACAAATCACAAAATTGATGTGCATTGTCATAATTTGCTTAACAAATCATAAGATAAATGTATTTTTTTGTGAACACGTGGAAAGTAATCATGAATATGCATGCAATATGCAAACTTTTATTTTGCACCTTTTTGGGGTTGTTAGGGTTCATTTTTGTGGGAAGGGTGCAAAATCTTATATTGCACCCTTTTTTGAACCCCTTTTCCTTCAATAGGGTTCATTTTTATGTAAAGGGTGCAAACTCTTATTTTGCACCCTTTTTTGCACCCTTTTTTCTTAGAGTGTACAAACAAATAATAATAATAATCCATGATATGATATGTATGTATTTAAACTTTGTGTGATTTCCATTGTATTTGTAACGTATAATCTGTACATGGCCTCTTATAAAAACGGTTTTAATACTGAAAGAGTTACCCTGTTTAAATTAAACAAAGAAATTAATCAATTAAATCTTTAAAAATATCTATTTCAATCGTTTGGACATGCAGATACACAAGCAACAAATAACAAACAAAAGCTAACATAGGAGTACAAAGTGAGGGCTAGGAACGACAGACTGCAGAGGATATTTAAACATTTTTATTCTAATTTAATTAAAACTCACCATAATAGCCCCAATGTAAGCTGTCCCCTGACTTCCACCGCCTTCAAACACCACATTCTCGTACGGGAACTCGACGTCAGCCAAAAAGTTCAGCGCACTCCCCATCATGTCCGACGGGATCGAAGACGACCTCGGCTGGCAGTCCAACGCATCCTCACCGTAATCAATGACGTCGGGTAACTTGCTATACGATTTTCGAAGTCGGCACTCGGCATCGTTAAAGCTGCAATGACTGGAGCGTCGACTGCCCCGACGTTGCTGAGGTAAAGGTAGATGTGATTCCGCAGCTCCCATTAGAAGCGTTGTTGACTCGGGTTGGTAACTGAAGGGATTAAAACGAATGGCGTTGAGAGAATAGCTGATACCCTTGATATTCACTACCAAGTCATCTCAATCAGGGTCCGTGGCATAGCCAGGTTCCAGTCATAATGGGGGTGTATTGTGGGGACCTACCGGAAATGAGGAGAAGAAAAAACAGGCCATCGAGTGACGTTAGGGGTGGAGCGGGGGTAACATCATCATCTTAATGATAATTCGAAGAATAAAAATGGCAATGATAATAATACTAACTATAATAGTAATAATGTAGAAAAAAAAGGAGAAGATGAGAAATACTCCTACTACTAATAATTATGATAATAATAATACTAATAATAGCAATTATAATATTCGTAATATAAATAACAAGGACAATTATAATGATAATAATGATGATAATAAAAATGATAACAATAGTAACAATAATAATAGCTAGTTTTATATCGCTTTTCAGGACCGAAGGCCCTCTCAAAGTGCTTTACAGATATTACCCCGGTCATCGGATTCAGGCTTATCCGCACACGATGTATGCACATTCTCCACTCCCTGGGGAGCATTCCAGCCAGGCGTCATTTTTACAAGCGCTAATTTTTTTGGCTCCCGAAAATTTGAAAATTGCGCCGGCCAATAATTCGCTCAGTGGCGGAGGGGGGGGGGGGGGGGTAGTGAGCACTATTATTTTTTGGGGGGCCCTCGAAAATTTGAAAAATCTACAAAACCGACTCTAGTCCGACAGCAGACCGATCGAACATATAACATTACCCCTGATAGAAAAAAGTGTCAGTCGATTTGGACTCGGTATGGAGTCGGTTTGAAGGTGTGACTGAAGAATTTTAATGCGGCAATTTCTGTAGCCTTGTGCTCCATCTATGAAAACGTGCGAACATTACAACAACGAGCTACGAGATCCCAACACTGATGATTTATATAGACGATACAAAACGGGTTTCAAATTGCCATCTAGTTGCTTTACCAGGAGTCTTTAAGGTTCGAGAGGGCACGCCCCCCCCCCCCCTCCCCCTCGAGGCTACGCCAATGGGATTGCGATAATATAATACTGATACCTGGCTGTTACGTGATATTGAATTTCGAATCTAGGACAGTTGCACGGGTGAAATTACCTTATCCATTCAATGACATGCTTCTCTCTCTCTCTCTATCTCTCTCTCTCTCTCTCTCTCTCTATTTCTCTCTATATTTCTCTCTCGCCATTCTTGTCTCTTCTATTCGGCTCTCTCTCTCTCTCTCTCTCTTTCTCTTACACACACACACAATTCTTAAAACCAGGAGCAGAACATAGATATGTATGTTATTGGCTGTGTCACGTGTCTAGTCCCACATTGCAGACACTGTGACGCACGAGTGTGTGTCTGCAATCAACCAGGCCCGTAGCCACGGGAGGGTGGGGGGGGGGGGGGGGGGCACGTGCCCCCAAAATTTACCAAGATCGGTTGAACTTGTTAGACCCCTCCTCAGGACGTTGATCAATTACATGTACATGTATGTGCCCCCCCCCCAAAAAAAAAAAAAAAAAAAAAAAAACACTCTGGCTACGGCCCTGCAATCAACAACATTTTTGTTTAGAGTTTTCAACTTTGAACTCCATTTTTCGAAAGAGCATCAAAAATAATGTTTGTCTGTTGAAAACCAATCAAATATGTTCAATATTGGCTGAGATATGACCATCCGAACTGTTATTTTGCTCTGATTCGTAATGTTGCTCTGGTTCGTAGCATTACGAAACGAAGCAAAATAACAGTGATTTGCTATTGAAATCTATTTATCCGGATGGTCAAAATCTCAGCCAAAACTGGGCATATTCAATTGATTTTCAATAGGAAATCACTGTTATTTTGCTCTGGTTCGTAAAATAGATTTGTATAACGTCACAGCTTCGGTACTCAATGGAGCTGGGTGACACAAAGTCAAATGTTGAAAGGTACCGAGGTCACGCGCCTGCTTCTATATTTTTTTATTTTTTTTGGGGGGGGGGGCTGATGATGAACTAAATAAAATCAACGACAAAGGGACAAAGGGACTAAACGAAGAGTCGAACCAAGTACCGGTAGAACAACGATTTAACACATGCAGGCAGCACCGTGGGAACTTTTCAAATAGAACACAATGACTAGACAGATTAGAGAAGAAGTCAAGTATCAGGTTCGCGTTTCGGTCGTGTGCCAGGATTTGAAAAGAGGTGTACTTTTGATGCAGGGGAATTTCGAGTGGCTAGACAAAAAAAACTAAACTAAACGGAGCTCATGAGCATTTGTCTACATCAATAACCCGCTTCTTGTAACGGCCAAAATTAAACTGATTGAATCTTTCCGCAGCACGAAGCGTACGACCATTAGTAGTCCTATATACACGGGTCTGAAAATAAGACTTTTTAATTAAACGACCGCAATCGCTAAATTCGATTCGACATCTAACGGTCGTTATTTTCCCTCGAAAAGACTTTTTCATGCCCTTTTGTTTTGAGGGAAGTTCTAAATTAGTATTATCTTTCAAATGCCGTTGGAATTTTACCTTTTTTATTTGTTGGCCTGCACATGGGATATAGTACCTTTAAAGGGGAATTCCACCTTGATAATAATTTTTTTTAAATATATATTATAGGAGAAAAAATGAGAAGAACAATTAAGATTTGAGAAAAATCGGACAATAAATAAGAAAGTTATGGAATTTTTTAAATCCATAAGTTTGCATGAAATACTTCAGATCTGTGAGTCAAATTGGCAACGCGGTCTCTTAATATGATGTCATCCCCTAACATTGTATTCTTTGTTGAATGCAAGAAATTTCATTAAATTCCATTTTGATCAAAAGATATATTTCTTCGTGCCAATCTCGATCGTATATCACGGGTAACATGTTATTTCATGCATCCCCATATAAGATAGGTCTACACTATTCCATTCATATTCAGATAAATTGAGATTTTGGGTCATCCTGTCATTCTGATCGGTGGTGAATTGTGAGGGATAACATCACAACATTTTGACCGCATTGGCATTGCCAATTTGTCTCACAGATTCCATGATTTCAACAGATTCATAACTTTCTTATTTTGTTGTCCGATTTTTCTCAAACTTTCGCTGAATTTTCTCTCTAATTTTTCGGCTTCTATTAAGACCAATTTAATATCAGGGTAAGATCCGAACATTAATTTCTTCCTTTGTTCCACGATAGTCATGTCTACCTTTTAAAGGTTTATTGAGAATGTTCCATAATCGAAATCATACAACTGAACTGACTTGAATAATAATCATATGGTGCATGATTAACGTTTGAAAAGAAATGTATACATATTAAAAATAAAGGGATATAATATACGATTATCAATACATATAAGAATGTTTGGACTAAATCTTCAACTTATATATACTCATGAATAATAGGAGAATGTCTTCTGTTTTCATTAACGAAGAAAACCCTGTCAGATAATACAGACTACCTACACGCGGAAATTCCCCTTCCATCAGAATTAGATATCTTTTCATATCAATTCAAGGCACGCGACCGACTTGCCAATCATTTAGGTGTCGCGTATGGTTGGCCAACTATGGTTGGCTATCGCCTTCATTACGTGTGCCTAGACCGTACGCGTGCATGTCAGAGCGTACGCGTGGTTCCGACATAACGTACGCGTGGGTCTATCATAACGTACGCGTGGTTCTGACAGAACGTACGCATGGTCATTTTCCATTATACTTCTATGTAATTCTTAACGTACGCATGGTTTTGACATAGCGTACGCGTGGTTCTGTCATAGCGTACGCGTGGTTGAATATGGTTGGCTATCGCCTTCATTACGTGTGCCAAGACCGTACGCGTGCATGTCAGAGCGTACGCGTGGTTCCGACAGAACGTACGCGTGGGTCGATCATAACGTACGCGTGGTTCTGACAGAACGTACGCATGGTCATTTTCCATTATACTTCTATGTAATTCTTAACGTACGCATGGTTTTGACATAGCGTACGCGTGGTTCAGTCATGTCATACGCGTGGTTGTGTCATGTCATACGCGTGGGTCCCGAAAAAATGTGTAACTCCAAGACGGAACCACGCGTACGTTATGACAGAACCACGCGTACGTTATGACGGAACCACGCGTACGTTATGACAAAACCACGCGTACGTTATGACAGAACCACGCGTACGTAATTCAGCTGTGTGTTTTTACTGTTTACTAGACAGTCGTACAACCAATGAGAAAGCTTGTTGTATTGTGTGGATAGCGCTGAATTTCCGCCGTTCTTTTATTTGCTGGCCGAGCATGCTTTCCCGTTTACAAAGGTGGGGAAAGAGGGGCGTTAATGGGATATAAGGGAGGGGGATAAAATGGTATAAAAGGAGGGGTTGGGGGGGGGGGGAGTTCATGGGATATAAAGGAGTGTACATTACGGGGTTTTATTAATTATGAACAATGGGCAGGATCGTTTGAGGATAATGACAAGGGGGTGGGCTTAGTGATGTAGCGGATGGTTATAGGTTAGTGTATATAGGTGTGGGGGTTGTTGGAGAGGGGGGGGGGGGTTAATGGGGAAATAAAGGAGTATATATTATACCTATTTCGTTTTAAGGTTTTTAAAATTAATTATGAACCGCAGAAAGGATTGTTTGAGGGTGATGAGAAGAGGGAGGACATGGCCATGTATCCTGGATGATCAGAGGCTACCGGGGTGGAGGGGGGGGGGGGGGCTGAGAGGGGCGGATGGTTATAGGTTAGTGTAGGTATGGGGGTTGTTGGGGGTTAGGGGGAAGAGGGGAAATAAAGGAGTATATATTATACCTATTTCGTTTTAAGGTTTTTAAAATTAATTATGAATCGCAGAAAGGATTGTTTGAGGGTGATGAGAAGAGGGAGGACATGGCCATGTATCCTGGATGACCAGAGGCTACCGGGGTGGAGGGGGGGGGGGCTGAGAGGGGCGTTAATGGGATATAAAAGAGCATATATTACCTACTTTG